TAAACACATTCGAAACACAATCCTTCTAGAGCCGAGGTCTGTGGACATGTAACAGCTTTTTGGGGCCAACAGAGACTAAAAACGTTGGAACTTCTTCCCGGATCAACCTCTCTCTGTGTCGGACAGGAGGCAGATCACTGACACTTCATGCTCCTATGAAGAACAAATCTCAGAGACATTGAACTTTGAAGCTTTGGCTGCTTTCAGCCTGACGGTTGTGACTCTTTTATTTTATTTTTTCTTCAGCAAAAAGAGAAAAACTGGCAGCAGAAGGTGAGGATCATAAAAATGCTGGTTTGTGATGGCGGCGCACGTGCAGCGCCGACTACAACACAGTGTTTGACCAGTGTTTTCTTTGTGCGTTTTGTATCTATTGGACCGTTTCAGTGAAGTAAGCATGGGATGTCCTCCTCCTTACTGTTTGTTCTTGAGTTTTTTACATGCCTATATTATTTTATTTCTTTTATTTTATTTGCTTTTTACCCTCATGTGTCATACATTGTGCCATGCTATTTTATTTTCTACATGCTTATGTACATACATGTTTTTTTTTAACTGCCTCATTCTTTTTTTTCCATTGTTTTATTATTATTATTATTATTATTATTACTACTTGTGATTTAGATTGAGTCCTAAAGTTCAGTTTTCATATCAGCGGAGGAGTGAAGTCTAATGGTTTCTACAGTACCATTCTTGCCCTGGCGTCTTGTTGTCCACTTTTTACACTAAAATACTCTTCAGTCTTTCTGTTGATTGTGGGAGCTCCGTTTTAAAAGCCTTACCAACGTGTTTCTACGTCGGACCATTGGAAGACTCGATGTTAACTCACCCTTCATCTCCATTAGAGCTTGCGGATCCTTCTGCGGGACTTTGACGGCGTCTCCACGCAGGTCAGGGCTGCCTGGGACTCATGGCCGCTGACCGACACCTGAAAGCTCTGCTAGAAAGAACAAACCAATCATTCAATCAATCAGCAAATGAAACTTTTGTACAAGTTTGGTTGTATGTGTGCGTTTTACAAAAAAAAAAAAAGAAATCAATGAATAACCTTTGGTTTCGGACATCTGCTGAAACACTCGGGCATTTTTCTGCTGCAAAGTCTTTTTGACGTCTGTTTGTTTCGTTTTTATTTTGCCTGCATCTCTTCATCGAATGCCACTCTGTGGTTCTGTTACAAACATTACAAGATGCAAAGATGTTTGCCTTTTCAAAGGGACTCCCGGATTTTTTTTTTTCCCTTTATATATATATATGGTTGGTTTTGTATGAAAAAATCGTTGTTCTGAACACAAAACTGCTGTACAAAAAAAAAGGAAATAAAAATAGGTCCGTCTCAGAGACTAGTTTTTCATTGCCCTTTTACCCAAAGAAAATTTTGTCATTTGCAATCATAGTAATTTCCTCTACTTTTGTGAATAACATGTTTTGCATAAATGTGCATCGTCATGAATGTCAGTATAACTGTAAGAGATTTTAACATTGGAGACAAACAAGGAAAGGCGGTTTGGAAGGAAACTGGGAGAAAAAGAACCGGACTCCGTTTGGGGGGAAAAAAACAGATCTGTTGAGTTGTAAACAGTTGAACCTGTATTGCACTTTTTCACAATTTTTGGAAAGTACATTTCTTACATATCTTGTGTTTTAAATATCAGAAGCTGTTTGTGTAATGTAGTGTCCTAGATAGGCAGCAGGCAGCTGGTCTTTTTTTTCTCTCTCTCTCTGTTTATTATTTTTTGCTTCAGAGATGATATGAAAAGAGCGACTGAGTTGTTTCACTCGGCGGCTCATGATGAGGAATTATGTTGTACCGCTTGTTCATGTACAGAGCTTTCTTTGCTTTCTGTAGAAGAAAAATAATCTGTGGCTTTTTAAAAAAATGTTGAAAAAGTTTTGGAGAAAAAAATGTTTTTTTATTGGTGCTCCTATACATTGTGTATACAAGCTATTAAGAATACTAACAAAGTAAACGTTTGTGCTCGTCTTTTTCATCTGAAATGGTTAAAAAGCTCAGTTGGAGCTGACAGAGGATTTACTTTTATATGTAACATTACTAAATAAGGTCAATGAGAGATCACACTCTGCCTACAGGCACATTTAAATAACCTAGAATATCATCTGAACTGAAACTACTGTACCGTGGCTTACATTTAATTAAAATATAAGATTTAATTTCTCTACAAACCTGGAGCCAACTTAATATGGTTAAAACATTAAAGACCGCATTAATGTAGACAACTGATAGAAGGCTAATGTTGAACAAGCTACCTGTTATCAAGGCACATTCAAGGAAAGTTGAGGGGAAGGAAAAAGTGTGGTGAAAAAAAATGGTTGCATAAAAATGCGTATAGCTGCAAGTTTGAGATGACTGAAAACTTTCTCACCTGGAAAGAAGAAACAAGTTGCTGTGTAGTTCAAATCTCTTTTTGCATTAAAAAAAAAGCACATTCTGCAATTAAAATCAAAATCCCAGTGAACAAACCAAGCATAAGTATATGTATGCAGGTATCACTAAATGCATACTGATGTTTTTTATCATCTCAGTAGTATTAAGCAGACTTTTACTATCATCTTTTTGTTATAATTTTTTGTTTAGACTTTTGAAACACATTGGCAAATTAATACCGTTGTTATTTACTGATGTACTTCTGATTAAATTACAGTTGGTGGCAGTTCTACACCAAATGTACCACAGGGACAGGAAGGGGTCAGCAGGTTTCATGGGGGCACAGAAAAGCATGAAATAAAAAACAGGGCAAGGGATTTACATATAGAAAACAATGACTGATGAAGTGAAAATTCTATTCAGTTAGGTTTAATTCAATTCTGTTTAGGTCAATATACTTTCATAATTTAGAATTTTACAGATTTTCAACTTAATTTAAGTTAAAATTACCATTTTCTATCAAATCAGAATTTGAACTAAAAAAAACTGATCAATTCAGCTGCAAAAATTACATTTAGCAGATGAATACTAGAATCTTATCTCAATATCACTGAAGGTTTCACCTTATTATTTTTAAATAATTAGTCAAACAGAATTTGTAAAGGAAAAAAAAAAAGAAATAGATTCAAATGACCTATCAGTAACCATTGAGCCCGTTAGGAATTTTAAACAACACAGAATTTGCTATAAACGTATTTTAAAAAAAGCCAGATTCAAAAACCACTGCCTCCTAACCTTCACGCCTGCAGATGCAACAGCTATCGTCCTGTCAAGAACACAAAGCGCCCCTTCAGCGTGAAGTCAACATTTCCTACAAGCACAAAAGCTTCATTCATGGCTGCTCCTTCACTCTTTCATCAGAATATTTCTGGTCTAAAAAGTTTAGATTTTTATTTTCTGGTGTGTCTATGAGGTTGAAACAATGATTTTTTTCAATCAAATGTAAGGTGTATACATTTTTTTTCTTTTTCTCCAGGGGTCACATTTGCAAAAATAAATAAATTTGGTGTTAATCACCTGTATTACGTTTGTGCAGCAAACACTATAAATTGTTTCCAAGTTAAAATTAAATTATTCATAGATTAGCAACTTATAATTTATATGAAATTCACAGTTTCAGCATGAACAGATGTTCACTGGCCTCTACAAACTAATATTAATATCAATAAAATGATGGCAGTATAACAATGTTATATATCTTAAAATATGGGGGGCTGGTTGGCCTTTTGACCTTTAATCTTTCATTGCGCAAACTAAAATTTTTGCTGCACAAACCAGCACTAATGTGGTACAAACGTTTGACACCAGTTTTGTCTGATTTCATAAAAGTGAGGAGGTTGACCTTTTGACCTTTACCTTTTCATTAATATCTTTAAAGCCAAAGCAGCAAAAACAGAGTCGAGCTAATTGTCTGATTTGAAGAAGGTGGGGGGGCTGGTTGACCTTTGATGACCTCTAGAAACATTTCTTTATATCATTGAAATGATAGAGGCACAAACGAACATTTTTTCTGCACAAACCAGCACAAATGTTTGACACCAGTTTTGTCTGATTGGAAGAAGGTGGGGGGGGGACTTCACTCAGGTATTGCAAGCACAGGAATGACATGTGATATATCAGGAACTAGCGCAGCACTAGTCTTAAGTCCAACCAGAATTCTCTTAATTACTGGAGCCTTGTGGAGCCAAATTAATTACATCTTCTTCAAGTGCTTTACTCTTTTACTGAATGGTGTATTTATAAATCAGTTAAGTTTTTTATAAGTTATATAGTTAACTTTTCTGAACATAAAATGTTAAACAGTTTAAAAAAAGGATAATCTTAAATATTTTACATTTTTTATTAAAATCTAAATTTGAATTAAGTTCTTGCACTGCATCATCATTAATGATTGAATTATTTTTGACATTTCTCATCTGAAATACTTGATATCCTTTTAATTGAACAAAAAAGGAGATGTAGTGGGGTATTGCCTCACTTGGAGCATTATGAACACTCCTTTTCTCAGTTTATTTTAGGACGTGCAAATTGGGTTATTTTTTGGGCCACAGGGCCAGGGCAGGTAGACCCAGTCCACCCCACAGGCCGAGGGGTGCTGGTACCTATCTTCAGCCATCTACGGGGGAGAGGCGGGGTACAACCTGGACAGGTAACCAGTCCATTACAGGGCAACACAGAGACAAACAGGATATACAACCATTCATGCACACACTAACACATAAGGAGAATTTAGAGAAGCAGATTAACCTAACAGTCATGTTTCTGGACTGTGTTAGGGAGCAGGAGTAACCGAAGAGAACCCACACATGCTCAGAGAGAACATGCAAACTCCATGCAGAAACACAGTTTCCCTAAATGAAGTATAAAAAAAACTTTTATATTGTTGCTGTCGAAACTATCATTACTACTAATATATTCTAATATTCCTATTAGAAACTATGATATTGTTACGAAGTTATTAGAGTAAAGTCAAACAGTGTGCTGTTTGGCATTGTTGTGTAATAGAGAGTGGACACCAGCAGGAGGCGCTGTAGCCATTCTTCAGACCTGATACCGTCACTTCCGGTCGGGACGCTCTAACTGACAACAGGGACTATGGCGTCCAGCTCGGACCGGAATCCTCCTCCTTTCCCAGCATCAGAGGAGCCAGAGCCTGTGCAGTGTGACATGGCAGACGGGGACAGCGACGAAGGAGAGGACATTTTTGTTAACAACGTATGTGTCCGGCTGTGTCAGTTTATCTGCATTGTGACAAGAGAAGCTGGAAGAGTTGAGCCTCTTTATCTGATCTGAGCTGCTTCTAACAGCTGAAAACCTTTGACAGTTCTTAAATTAAAAGAAGATTTAGTCGTAAAATTGGCCAAAGAGGCATTTTGGTTAAAGCGTTTGGAATTATTCATCAGAAACGAATGGTTGTAATTCAACCATCAGCTAACACTGAATTACAACCACCAGTGGTAGCTTTTAGTTGGTCTGCATTGGTGTTTGTGTTATGTCAGTACATTTCAAGGCGTTATAGTTTTAATGCCTAGGTGAACATTTTCCTTTTTTTTATTTTAAATGTTTATTTATTTATGCTAATCATGAGTTAAGTATTCTCCCTTTTCTACATTTGTTTCGTTGTTAGCAGATATAATCAGGGCTGGGATTTACCATTAGGCTATACTAGTCAGTTGCCTAGGGCCCCAAGTTCCTCTGTTTACATGTATGGTTAATAAAGCTATTACTTATTTGTGCACATTATTATGTTTTTGATAAAAAATACTTTTGCTAAAATGCCATCAGAATGCTTATAATAAATGTGTCTCAGCCCTCCCCCCTTCAGTGTCCTCATTGGATCAGTCCATTTGCTGCACATGTTCAGAAAGGTTCAAACAAATAGCAACAAATCATTTCAAAACAAACTATGTGAAGAGCAGTGTTGCCAACTTAGCGCTTTAGTCGCTATATTTAGCGACTTTTCAGACCCCTCCAGCACTTTTATTTCAAAAAAGCGCCAAATCTAGCTACTTTTTTCTGCTACTGGAGACTTTAGCGAAAACGTATAAAAGGAGCGAACTCTGCTCTCCAGAGCAAGTAGATTGCCAACCCCGCCTGCAGCTATTATTTCATCCAAATGAAAACTGGAGAAGCAGATCAGCCTACAGTGAAAAGAAGGACGGTGTTATTTACTTTTGCCGTCGCCTTTTTGGAAACACAGAAAGGAGCTTAGTCATCGGAAAAAAATCATTACTTTTGAGACAGCATGAAAAGTCAGCTGAGTACAAAACATAGAGAGGAAAACAAGAAGAAAAGGGACGAGAAGAGAGGGACAAAACCAACAAATAATGGATGTCTATTCTATTAAAAGTCTTATATCTGTATAATGGGTCTGTTTTATGTGTTGTTTTCTCAGAGGGCCCCCTGCCTGTCTTTGCCTAGGGCCCCAAATTTCCTAAATCCGCCCCTGCTGATAGATGCTCGCTGTTTGCGTGGTTGGACGTTTCTGAGTCAAATCTCCATATTTTGCAGAGCCACCCGGCTTCCGTCAGTCGAGGAGTTTCTCAGCCAGAGGAGCCCGCGGACCTGTTCAGTGAGGAGGCCTCCTCTGCCAAACCTAACGGAGTTCATTCTGATGATGATGATGATGACCTGTTTGCAGGTGAACAGACCAGCACTAACAGCTATACTCACTGACCCACCTCTAAATTATTTTCAGATATGGTAGCAAACCCTTACTTTGTAGATCTCATGGATCCATTCACCTCATACTGCAGAACTTTAACAACTGGTGCTCTATGCACTGCCTTTAGTGGTACTTCAAATGTTGGCTTTAATTATTTCTTAAGTTAGAGCAAATTAAGAGGGTTATAACCCTATAAAGCCCCAACAGACATTAAAAACCTTGTGCACTTTAAATCACTGTTGCGACATGTTCCCTTAAGAAAGGTTTTATAGAACTGTGCTTGAAAAAGATTAAATCGTAGTTATACTGAAAAATGCGTTTTTAAACCTTTTAAATTTATTTATGTTTATTTTCTTAGCCAAGCCAGATTTATATATGTGGTCCAATTTGAATTAAACACAGAAGGCATCTGGAAAGGTTCCTTCCTACCTTTAGCAAAAAGGAGGAGGTGATTGGATCGCACCTGCCAGTAAGATTACAATTTCTTTCTAATGGTAATTTAATATATATATATATATATATATATATATATATATATATATATATATATATATATTTCTTTTTTTTTTTTGTGTTATTTAAAGATTTGGTCCCAAGTGATCTCTGTTCAGGAAAACAAACCTTAGAGAAAGCTTCAAGGTGTAGACACAGAGGTTTCCTTTAACAGAACACTTACCAAATCTGGACGGGAGAGACGTGCAACAATCTTACCCATCCACAAAGGGATATATCGTCTCCCTTAATAGTTTTTTAAAAAAGAACTAGAAGGTTTTCGTGCTAAAACAGACTGAGTAGCTACGTTTAAAGTTGATTTCACCGCCTCAGCCATGTTTGCTTTTCTTCAGCCTGCCTCGTCTGGTTGATGTCATACACGTCACTGTGTTTCATTGGTGTGAAACATTTCTGTATTCGGGGTTAAGGCATCTATTGGCGGCATTTATAAACAGTCCATCGATTGCAGTACAAAATCTTCTGATCAATTAATTTCACTGTCTAAATCAGTTTGACTTTATTGATTTTATGCAAAGAATTTGTCATAAATAAAAAGCATGTGTTTTGTTTTTTGTCCCTAGAAGCACAAGCAGATTTAAACTCGGAAACAACTGAAAGCTCAGCTCAGAAGAATGTCTCCACCTCCTCTGGCCGTCCGTCTTCTCGAAGCCCTGCTGCTCTGCAGCCCACCTCCTTGGAACAGGTACAGGCCTTATTAAACCCCCCCAACACAACCACCTCTTACTGTCTGTGCTTCATATTCCAAGGAACGCCTCTGTGGCGGCCATATCTGTTCGCTTTTCGGAGTTTGCACTGTAGAAATGTTGTCTTGCTCATTGCAGCTGGAAGAGGACGAGGCCAAGGATAGCTTCGATGTGGATGTTGCTGTCACTAATCCAGAGAAAGTTGGTCAGTTTATTTTGTTTTTAAAGATATTTTCACAAATAGAACTCTGAAAGTTTACTCTCAGCTCCAATCTGTCTCTTGTTTTGATCCCTCCCAGGAGATGGCATGAATGCATATGTGGCCTACAAAGTATCCACCAGGGTGAGTGGTTAAGGCTCTGATGTTCAAAGCCTTTTTGTTTATTATTACACGGCTACTCTCATCCTCTTTTTCCATGATTTCCTCCAGACATCTCTGCCTTTGTTCAAAAGTAAGGTCTTCTCCAGCAGGAGGCGTTTCAGCGACTTCTTAGGCCTTTATGAAAAGCTCTCAGCCAAACAGTCGCTGCATGGCTGCATCATACCTCCTCCACCTGAGAAAAGTGTTGTGGGTAAGTGAAGTCCCATTAAAACCACGATTTATGTTATTTGGATATTATATGACAGAACAGCAGAAAGTTGTACATTATTATGAAAGATAAATGCTGTTAAAAAGTCCTTATTCTAGCTTATCTCAGCCTGTGTGGGGGGACCGCACATCCCCTAAATACAGCATCCTGATGGGGAAGCATAGTCAGAGCAGTATTATGCTGTGGGAATGCTTTTATTATGCATTCAAAAGGATGTTGGATTAAGATTAAAATGGCGGAAAGAATGTCGCAGCCTGGAAAGAAAACCTGTTAGTTTGCAAAAGACCGAAAACTCGTAACTCTAATGAGAATCGGAGGCCAGACTAAAAATGGATGTTTACTAAAGATCTTCATCCCATCTTACCGAACCTGAGGTGTTTTCTGCTTTCTGTCTCAAAAAACTAAAAACCTCATAAACTATTAGGATTGTTGCTTGTAATGTGCATGCATTCTTTGCATGTTTTCTCTTTTAATGTTTGTGTTTCTTCTCTTTGGATCATTAGGAATGACCAAAGTGAAGGTGGGTATGGATGACCCGTCATCTGTGGAGTTTGTGGAAAAGAGAAGAGCGGCTCTGGAGAGGTTTCCACACAGCTTTGGGTGTTGACGTTTTATTTGTCCACGTCTGCAGCTCTTACTTCATCTTGTCTTCGCTTTGTTTGGTGTAGGTATCTGGAGAGAATAGTGTCTCACCCGCTGTTACTACAAGATCCCGATGTCCGTGAATTCTTGGAAAGAGAAAATGTAAGTGCTTGAGGATTTTGAAATGACACACTATTAATATCCACTTTTTAATTTGGCAGTCATAAAAACGTTAAATGTATTTTGTGGGATCAGGAGAATTTTCTCCAGAGGAAGATTCTGGGGCTGTAATTAAACCACTGGATCTTGAAACCAAATAACTGTCTATTGTCTAGTTTCAGTCAGTCTTTCCTGTAATCTATGTTAAACCTGCTACTGTCGAAGCGTGTTATAATTATCTCTGCAAAATGTTCTCCCTATAATCCAGTAATAAACTAGGCGTTTCAAAATATTTCAGCATCTGATCCTAAAAAATGACAATCCAACAGAGTGGTCACCCTCTAAAATTACATATAATAATTTCACTGTAATTATCTATAAAGTAAAGAAATTCTATTCATTTTTAAACAAATGCTTAGTTTTAAATTACATTTGATTATTTTGTTGTACATTTTACGATTAATTCACATATTTATTTAAATCATGTATTGGATAAATTGATAAATCGCTTGGGTGTTGGTTCTACATTTACCTTTGGCATCATAACATACTAGCTCTATTCCATCACTAATATGCACAATGTGGATGATATTCTGCTAATTTTGAAAATGCAATTTTTGGCCATTGCAATAGTTCCATTAAATCACAGACAGGTACATAGACAGGGTGTTTGTTACCGCTGTAATAAATATCTGTTTATCGAACATGTTTTCTTAGTATTTGAATAATTTTTAAAGGCATGGTGGAGGAATTTTTGCAAAGTTTTGAAAAGACCCGCCCTGTCCACTTTAAAAAAAAATGCACATGCACAACCCTGTACCCGCTCCTGAGAAGGAACACCTTTTAAATGCCTGCGAGCGCGTGCACAAATCCATTTCTCCTCGTGCACAGTCTGTTTATAAGTTGCTGTTTGCATCGGTCATACAAGCTTATTTTCCGAAAGAAGATTTGCAATTTTTCCACTACGTCAGACTCACCACTGGTAAGTGAAAATGGGGACGAGCATGTAGGACGGCCTTATGTTAACATATCACCAGAATGATTGACACTTTGGAGGACCACTTATTTTGATGATCCACCCAGAAAAAGAACATCCTCCACTATAACTTTAACTTGAATTAACAAGGTTACTTCTGTTGAAGAGTCTGAGATTATGGCCATAAAACAAGATCAGAGATGCAAAAATGGGGTTACTACATAATTTATAGAGAAAAGCCATTGTGAAATAATCCTTTGGACACCTGCTACCTGCAGGCAGGGAAGGTGGTGTTTTTCTTTTAAATATATTAAACCTACAGATTTCCACTAGTTTTGGCATCATTCATGGCTTCAATTTAAAAGAGGTAATCCTTGTAGGGCCGCAACTTACCATTATTTTGCAAATCAATTAATCTGATGAATAATTTTTTGATTAATCAATTAATAATCGGATATCAGAAGGTTCCTTAAAGAAGATTTTTTGAGAAATGAAACCAGGTGAAACTTGAGCAGATTGACAGATGAGAAAGATATTTTGATATTAAATCCAAAATGTTAACATATTTTTTTGTTTACAATTTTGTTTTAATGCCTGCTCTTATTGGTCGCTCTCTCTGCTAAAGGCATGTGTTAGAGTCTCTATACTCCAGTTAACGATTAATCAGTTACTGAATTAGTTGACAATTATTTCAATATTCAATTAATCACGATCAATCTATTTAAGTGTTCCAGCTCTAAATGTCTTTTGCTTACAGCAACACAAAATAGCCAGGTGTGCCAACTATATTTCATACAGCAGGAAATGAAGAGCTGATCAAGCTATGGGGGACCTCCAGTGGTTGTAGGTGCAGCTCTTTCTATTATATAGCAGCTCTGATGCAAAAGAGGAGGAGGAGGGAGCCTTGATCTGCAGACATCATTGCCATTTACGTTGCTGATAGCATAATGGAAACCTGTTTATTGTTTGAAATAAGTTATTACTATGTCATAAATCTTTGTTTGTCTTCAGCTCCCCAGAGCATTGAACACCCAGACGCTCAGTGGGGCTGGTTTCCTCAAAATGATCAACAGGGCTTCAGACGCCGTCAGCAAGATGACCATCAAGATGAACGAGTCTGACACGGTAAGGAGAGCCGGGAGGAAGCATCTGCAACACCTGCTGATGTTTAAAACAAACATGCTTTACACATTGTGGCATTATATATAGATGTAGATCGATAATATATAGAATTCATTGTTCACAGAAAAGTAAAACGCTTGAGTTTCATGGACCCCCGCCTGGTGTGTGAGGTGGCACATTCATGCTGTGGACACTGATGCTGTTCCTGGATGTTTTGTTGAGGATAAAAACAAAGATGCTCTTTAGAATGAAGCCAAAGAAGCTTTGATATGCTGCTGCTGTAAATAAAGAAAAATATCAATGATAGGAAATTGAGTTAAAGTACTTCACTTAATAAATTTGTTTTTTTCTCTCTTTGGTTTAATGTGTAGCTTTTGTTTGTGTCTCTTAGTGGTTCGAGGATAAATTCCAGGAGGTGGATACAGAGGAGCAGCAGCTGAGGAAGCTTCTCTCCGTCGTTGATTCTCTGGTCAATCATAGAAAAGGTGAGCTAAATGTTAATTTAACGATTTCCAGTAGATGGAGGGGATGCAGCTCTGAACAATAAATGACCAAAGTTTTCTACTCTTTCCCTTTAACACCAGAGCTGTGTGTGAACACGGCCATGTTTGCCAAAAGCATGGCCATGCTGGGAAACTCTGAGGATAACACGGCCCTGTCCCGGGCCCTGTCCCAGCTGGCAGAGGTGGAGGACAAGATGGAGCAGCTGCATCAGGAGCAGGCGGGGAGCGACTTCTTCATCTTCGCAGAGCTGCTTGCTGACTACATTCGCCTGCTTGGTGCTGTGCGGGTAGGTGCGCCGTTATGTGAGAGGAAGTTCTGCAGAAAATGGCTGTTTTTTGTTTTTCTTTTTTTTTTTCTGTTAAAGAAAAAGTTTGGTCAGCAAGGAATAACCAATGGATCATTATTTATAACTAAAACTAACATGTTTGCTGTGATTTAATGAATTTAGTGTTAATCAGTAAAACAATAATTTTCGTTGCTGTCACTGAGTCTGGGAGCAGCCATTTTTGCCCAAATATAGTAACACCTCACTCCTGACATCTTCCTGACGTCACGGTGCGGTAAGCCTAGCGCCATTCTCCCCGCTTTACAAGCAAAATCAATGGGAACTACTAGACACATCTGCAATCAACAACAATTATTGAAGATTTTCAGAGGACTTCACCATTGAAATTCACCAGAGCTATAGTTAAACTGACAATGCCCACGTGTATGGCAGTTGGATGTTGGAATACATTGGATAAAAGTGAAAAAAAACATTAGTTATTCCATTTTTCTGATTCCTGATCCTCCATGGACGGGTTCGTCGTTGGATGGCCAACTTGAAGAGGGAGGATTTGCCATCAAACTTCTGGCCAGAGAAAAAACACCTAATATGCAGCCAAAATTTCGAAGAAGAATGTTTTCAAGATTACTTGGATAATAGCGCGTTGTGACAAACACCAGATACAGCACTGAGACTTGATCAACAGCCCATACCGCACCGTGACGTCACAAACCAGTCAGGGTATTCTCATTATGAGTTCGTATGAAATCGTAAGAAAAATTATGCACCGTAATTTCGTACGTTTTGGACGTTTTTTTCGTCGTATGCGCATGCGTATCTGACGCACCATTCAAGAACATAGAATTTAAAAAACAATTAGCCCTAACCCTGACCCTAACCCTAAGATATAAAACAGCAAGCAACGTAGTTAGACATGAAGAAGTGATTATTGCACTGTTTTTCCCAGTTTTCCGTCTGTCCGCGGATCTGCTTTTTTTTTTTCTGTCTGCCAGCGCATGCGCACTGATAGGGTTTTTTGAGGAAAAAAGTCCAAAACGTACGAAATAGTGTGCATAACTTTTCGTACGATTTCATACGAATTGATAATGAGAATATGTTGAACCAGTAGGTAGCAGTAGTGTTCTTTGACGAACATGGATGCCTCCAGTAAAGCACAGTCAAATGAAAATTACTCTTAATTAAAAACACTTATTTATTCAACAGTATGTAATAATTGCATATTTAAAGTACTTTCAGAAGTTTGAATTCTGAATATGACCGGACTTTTCCTTTAAAAAATTATTATAATTTATAATTCTTTTTTATATTGTTGTCCTCCTAGTTAATGAACTACCTACAGTATTATGTCCTTTTTACATAATTATTGTCCTGTTATTACCATAAATACACAGATTAGACTTCCTCCAAGGCACAGATTAATAGTTTTCTTTAAGCCTGATTTAGCATTTTAATTCAGTCTGTTCTGGATAATTCAACAATAACACTCTTTTGTTTTTCTGTTAAGTCTTAAAGGTAAAAAAGTTAATTTCCATGTAGATATTTCGACATAAATTCACAGAATAAATGGCTTGGATTCCTGCAGAAAATCAAGGATTTGATAAGTGATTACAGTTTCCTGTTCCTGATTTTTGATATTCCTCATCTGATTTTTACTGATCTCACGATGCACAAGATGCACTTCAGAAAATATTTGTTTGAAGAGTGAAAAAAGCTTGTTAGCTTTCAGCTTAAACAGAAAAAAAAGATTTGGTTTGATTTTGACCTGAGCTTCACTGATCAATCTTGATTTGCACAGAGTTGCTTTGACCAGCGTGTAACGGCATGGCAGCGATGGCAAGAGGCCCAGAGCACGCTACAGAAGAAGAGAGAAGCTGAAGCCAAGCTGCTGTGGGCTAACAAACCTGACAAGCTGCAGCAGGCAAAGGAAGAGATCACCGAGGTAAAGGCTCAGTTCACTTCAATTGCTCCAGCTGGGAAGGTATTCCTTACCGTAATGCTAGGGTCAACAGCGACAGACGGATGTTCAAACAATCTGATGTGTAATTTTCAACTATCTGGTTGACTTCTAAAAGCTACCTAAGCCAAAATGATTGCATTTGGCTTTAAATTAGCTCCAAAAGTGGCTATGTTCTAGTAACACCCTAAAGTTAAAATGCTCTGAGCTTCCTGTATGAAACGGTAAGGTTATTATCTGCATTTTTTTATCATTGTTTTAGTTATATTAGAAGTGAGAGAAAATCTTTGGGATAAAAAGCTTGAAAGGAACCCAGTCAGGCCAGACCAATACAGCTTGGCTTTACTTAAATATAGCTGAACCTCTGAGCACTTAACAGAGAATTTATTTATTTTTTATTTTTTGAAGCATTGATAGAAAAGTAACTAAAAAGTTTACAATCCCCAAATAAATTCAGTTTAAAGTTACTTGTTTTTTTCTAGAACTCAGAAAAAACAGCTTTAAGCTAAGATGATTTTTGGACTCGTTATTGGCTGCCTGGTCCAGCAGCTGTGCACATCCACACCTTTCTTCCTTCTCATTGATCGATAGACTTTATTGATCTCACAATGGAGAAATTTCCTCATTACATCGGCTCAATAGTCAAGAAGAAGAGGGTGCCAAAAGGAGAAAAAGGTGCCTCTGGGTATATACAGTATATACGGTCCGTCCACATATACCGTATATTGAAATCTCCTATTTAACAGGATTATTTTAAGGTTATTTCGCAGGCTATTAAATGGTTATTTATATAGGGTTATTATATATATATATAGTTATTGCACTGGGTATCAACTATAAGAAACAGGTTATTGCACATAGTAATTGCACATTAGATATTGCACAAGTTATTGGCATTATAGTGTCATTATGATGGTCCTGAAGGGGAGCGGCTCTACCTCTTCCTTCACCGGCGTTTTGGATGTCGCTATGGAAGACGAGGGAAAATGCCTCACGGCTCAGCTGCAACAAGGGGCTTTATCCACAGCCAATGGCAGCTAGGTTAATACCGAGATCAAAGAGCAGCGATGCACCTGAGGGGAGCAGCTTTAACCCTTTATAGGGCAAGTTACTGTTTTTGATCACATGCATTCCCCTTAAAATTGGAGCACCCCCCCCCCCCCCCCCCCCCCGTCCCTGTGTGAGATCTAGAAGAACAAGATCTATATCCAGCCATGAAGCAAACATCCTGCTACATGGCTGTGCATCTTATTTTGACATTTGACCAAATAGATGAGCCCTTGAATGATTTCTTATCTGTTGTAAATTAAGTTGGAAAAAAAGGTTAAAAGCTAACTGAAAAGTTAAAAAGTTATTAAGCCTAGTTAACAATTATATTTAGGTTTTGTAAACTAAAAAATGTAAGTGCCAGTATCAGCATTAATGCCTCTAAGCTTATGTTGCACTAAAAAAAAATGTGTTTCTTTCACTCTGTGTTTTTCATGAATTTCTTATAAAAGTACTTTTGTTATTTTTCTTAATATATTCATGCAAGTTGTCATTTCTTATTACATTGACATTAATTTCTGCCATCTAAATTTCAATATTTTTTTAATGTTACAAAGGTAATAAGGTGTTGTCCTGGATTCCAATAACAGTATTTGGCTTGAAATGTGGATTTTCAAAATATTTCACTGAATGCCATATAAAGAATAAAGTGATGCCGCTTCGCATCATTTCATAGGCATTACGCTGCTGTGCGTTATGCATAACTTAGGCTGTCGTTGGAAATAAGTTCTGGACTCGTTTTGAATACTCTATGCATATGCACAAATAAAAAAAACCACATATCAAGTTCAGTGTATGCCAGCGTTTTAGAAGATTCTGGGATGTCCGGTATACGCTGGCTAAATCTGCAAGGTGTGAAAGGGCCCTTATGTTTGATAATTTGACAGTAAACACATGTATAGATCCCAGTTAGAAGGTGCCGTATTGTCTAAATATCAACCCTACACAATTTGCATGAATTTACAGTCTCTCAATGAAATAACACATTTTTATTTATTAAACTTTATTTAACCAGGGAGAAATCCCGTTAAGATTAAAAACCTCCTTTTGAAGGGAGTCCTGGCCGAGAGGAAGCAAAGTTACCGTACATACTAAACAGAAATACATTGAACAAAATGACAATTATATTAAAAAACGTATCAAGTAAACAATGACAGATTATTGGAGCCGTTTCAAATTCTTTCATTTTCAACTTCAAAGTATTTAAGGATAAAAACTCAGTCAACTTCCAGTCTGTTTGTAAAAACATCTCAAGTACAAGGAGCTGCGTAGACAAAGGCTTTCTTCCCTCGCTGTGTGCAGGCACAAAAAATCTGCACATTTGTATTTTTTTCCTCAAAGTTTCCTAGTGTTGCTCAAAGTGATATAGAACCCCTCGGGCCATGACACAGGTGTCATTCAACTAGTTTTATGAAGGTTGAAAATGTACTTGGTGTTGGTTTCAAACTTAAAGCAATTATATCCATACTACTGCAAAAATAATCCAGCATTAGTTATACTGTAACATAATGCTAAACCAGGGGTCGGCAACCCGCGGCCCCGTAGCGACGTGCGGCTCTTTAGCCTCCCCCCTGCTGCTTCCTGAAGCTTTTTTAAAAATGTATGAAAATCGAATTTCTTTTGTTTTAATATGGTGTACAGGAGGTTAAATTTAAACAATAATTTGCGCCATAGCCATAGAGAGCAGTGATCATAACTTGCAACCAGCGCAGCACGGTGCCAGGCAAACAAAGCTGCAGGTTTTTCTCAGAACCATGGATCCCAAAGGGAAACAAGGAAGATAGCTGATGAGAAAAGAGGATTCAAAGAAGAATGGAGCGAATCATTTGCTTTCATTATCAATGCAGAAGGATTGCCTGCATTTTTGCTTTGTAATGAGAGGTTGTCAAAAAATAAAAATAAAAATTTGGAAAGGCATTTCCAAGGAAGGCAAGCTAAATATGCAGCCCACCACCAAGTTGGGAGGGAGAGAAAAAGTGTGGTTGCAGAACTTCTGGATAAATTAGAGGAGAGCAAAGATAGATTTAAGAAGTGGATTGCATCTCCAAACTCCACTACTGCTGCTAGTTTTGTTGCAAAGATGGAAAACCGTCCACAGATCAAACAGGTAGCGCTCTGATGCAGCGATGGGAACTTTCTTCAATTTTTTACCCAAATCCTAAAACTATAAATCACACCAAGGAACACTGGTGATGGGGGATATGGGATTTCAAGGTTAGAGAGCTCTGCTCTGATGGAAGTCAGTTCCTGCTGGGTTCCTCACGACTCAATCAGCTCCTCCCAACAGAAACACGTCCACCATATAAGATTCCTTTATTGTGTTTCTATAATTTCATCAATACAACTAAACTTAAACCCTGCGGTGAGAGCGTTCATTGCTCCTCCCTCACCTCATGCTGCTATGTGACATTTGTTCCAGGATAAACAGTTAATCATGAATGCTGATTATATATTTAAGCCCACATTGTCCTTTTCTATAGTGGGATAATACACTTAGAGCCTGTGTTGCCATACGAGGTTATATATGACTTTTACATTTTTGCGGCTGCAGAGGGATTTATTTTTTTGTTTTTTTGGTCCAATGTGAGCAGTTTTGGTCGCCGACCCCTGTGTTAAACCTTATAAAATCACGCTCACCCTTTCACTTGAAAACATAAGCCAGCTGTTATAAGCCAGCTGAGTAACCGTGTGCAGCAGAGAGATGTGGGTTCGCATTGGTGTAATGCTCTATGCTTTAAAGGGTTTTAAGCCATATAAACCATATAATGGAGCAATGATTTGGTTTAATAGCGGTTGTCGTGGTTAAACCTTGATCATTTTAACCCTTGCTGCAGATTCAGTTGTTTGGTTATAGGATTATAAAGACCAAAGGCGGTGTGCTTTTGTTTCCGTTAAAAGAATTTACGAGTGCTTCAGGTCGGAATAGTTCAGATTTTTATCTAATCCTCCCATTTTTTTTAAATGTTTTTGTTGTCAGTGGGAGTCAAAGGTTACTCAGTACGAGAGAGACTTCGACAGGATTGGGATGACTGTAAGGAGGGAGGTTCTCAGATTTGAGGTATGTTGAAAACTTTTCTTATCTTCAAGTCTTTTTTTCTTTGTTTTCCATCCTTCATCTGCAGAGGGTGTGTGTTTATTTAAGCATGGCAGAGTCTCAGTCTTCCTCTTAATTTAGACCCGATTCCTGTTATTTTGTCATGAAAACATGGTTTCTAGTTATAAAGAGGTGCTGAAGTTGTAATTCCATTATTTTCTTGTAAGGTTGTGGATTTTAACCTCTTACACCCTAAGGGGGTATAAATAAATTTCTGCCTGACAAAAACCCACAAAAGTAAATAACTTATAGCCTCAAAGCTATTAGATTTAAGAAGAAACTTTTGGTATGTCTGTAAAGGTAAGAAGTCATAGAATGGTTTTCTGGTGTCAGCACCATTGTAGCTTTGACCCTGCCTGAAATATTAGGGACAAAATACAAAATATTTTGCATTTTTTGAACCTCGCCAAAATTTTCTTTGAAATAAACATTGCAAAACACTACCAAAATATTATTTATAGCACAAAAAAGTAGTACAGACTTTTAAATCTAAATGTTGTGTAAAAATATACAAAATGTGGACTCAATCAGATGAATCATATTTATTTTAGAATGGTATTAGTGAGAAATTTCTTAGGCGGAGGGGCCAGTTTGGCACATTTATCCATAAATGTCACCAAACTGTGCCAAATATGTTTTTTACATCAATACTGGGGGTTTGGTAAAGTTACGAGGTCATGTAGCAGCTGGACCCGCCGGCGGGTCCGTAGGGTTCAAGGGGTTAAGCAAAAAGAATCTCCATGGGATTTTCGTTATACTACCACTTCTGCAGGTTTTGACCTATTTAAACAACACCCTTCTCTGCATGCACTGTGGAAAAAAGAGAAGAGGAAATTCCTGCAGCTGTCTTTTTCTTCTTTTTTTTTAACTGCCAATGATCTTGAGACGTGACGAGACTTTTCTCATTGCAGAAAGAAAAGGCCAAGGACTTCAAGAGCCAGATCATCAAGTACTTAGAGGCAATGCTGCAGTCTCAGCAGCGGGTAATTACCATTCATAAATAAAGTATTATATTAGGCTTCCACAACTTCAATTAAAAGCCTTTTGAAAAGTATTATTTTACAACAGCACCTCAAACACTTATTGGCCCCTGGTGAGGATGTAAAATATGTTTTAAATGAAAATATCTGATTTGCAGGAGCAGAATCTGACACTTAAAGGTACACTATGCAACCGGTGTTGATTTTCCAGCGAGGCTCCCCCCAGAGGGCGAAAGTAAAAGTGCACTGTCGTAAATATGCTCAGCTGTTCTCCTGGTTTCTCCGTCAAGCCAGGCGCGGTTGTTTTGAGCTTAGCAGCGAATGACTAATGCTGCGTTCACACTGGACGTAGCTGGCGCGACAGAAGCAGCGAGTTTACATGCAAAGTCAATGGTTGACGCGCGTCAAGGCGCAGCAAAAGGTCCAGCGGCGCGTTTTGAGCACCAGGCGCAGCACGTCTGAGCAGCTGAAGCAGCGCATCGGGCGCGTTTAACGCAGGGAGAGAGACACAGCGCTGATGATCTCTCCTCTTAAACAGTTTATTGACGCCTAAATTAACTTAAAATGCAGAAATCTGCCGGCAGAATATGCAGTTTGGATTATTTAGATGAAAAACACCTACCAGCTGCCGCGGTGAACCGCTGCTGATGAAGGGATCCATACTGTCGGCGCATCCCTGGTATGTGGGGGTCTGAGCGGCTCCGACAGAAAAAATATTGAAGGCAGGATAATAATCTGAATGAACTGACTGCACTGATTACGTTTTCAGGTGTATTTTCTCACTTAAACACATATTAAAACTACTTTATTCCCACTGATCACAGCAAATATAGCTGCAAGGCAGAGAAAGGATAGTGAAGCTCCGCCCAATGCGCCTCAGACACACTTTTGCACCGTGCAGCCAGAGCAGCAAAGCTGCTTCAGCCTCGCGTCAGAACTAACTGGTACAAGCAGTAAAAATGAAGCAGCAGACGTGCTTTTGCTGCGTGAACGTAGCATTACTGCACAAAGATCGCCACTGTGCTAGCAACGAGCATGCTTTTAACTGGGGGGTGTAGCAGTTCTCGCCGTAAAGCAAGACTGACTCTCACGAGACTTCTGAGCCTGTGGGTGCGGGTCGGTGCTCCTGCAGTTGCAAGTGCAGTATTTCCCCCACAGACCACCAGGGCGGCCGAGAATACCTTTGTTCAACCTGAAATTACTCATTTAATCATCCATAACGTTATGGAACACATTAATTAACTGAAAAATGTTGCATAGTGTGCCTTTAAATGATAACATCAAAAGTTGCTTTTGTTTACACTCATTAGATGGGGGGAAAAAAAACATTTCAAGTCAGAAACTTTGGCATCTTCTACGATTCCTACAAAATAAATGCAATTTAGGCTTTTTCTAAGTTTGTAGGAAGCTGTAAATGGTCTGTTTCCCTAGATATGAATATGTTGGCGTAAAGAAACTCATTTCTTTTAGCCATTGTTAACTAATCTGAAATGGTGGTGGTAATTTATCCACCATGATTTACAGTGATAAATGTGGGAGGGGAAAAAATTCTGATAGTTTAAATTGAACCGTGGCATTTCGTACAATTAGGCTTAGGTTCCACTTTTCAGCGTTACACACAACCAGTGGGTGTGGCCTAACATAAAGGATGCATTTTCAAAGGCACCTCATGGTAGAGGATAATCCCCAAATTCCACATCCATCGCTACTCCTCCTCAAGTCACCGTCCACGTACATTTTCTCGGTCTGTCACCGTCAAAATACGTAGCTGAGCTATTTTTCGCTCCGCTCCGGTCCGACCAGGGCAAGATCCGCAGTTTTAATCGCACCAAACAGGAAAAAAAACGTTGAGAAGATCTGGTTTGTCAAATTAAAATATTGTAACGACAGATTGGTAACTACAAATTAGAGCATAATTTGTATATATTCCCAAAAACTAAGACCGTTTAATTAAATGATTGGATGCAATCTATTACCACTTTAACAAACCAGGAAGCAAATTTGTCATCTCCATCAAATTATTTATTTTATACTAAGAGGCTTAAAAGTTTAATCAAATCCAGTCAAAACAAACTAATGCTGAGTTTGGAAGTAGAGAACAAACGGTTCATAAAACAGAATTTTGTATGATCCTAGTTATCCCTGTTACAAAAATCCACTACAAAAAGAAAATATTTGGGCAGAAACTGCATTTATGCTGGATGCTGACAGGATTGTTTTTATGGGTCATATTTAATTAAGCATTCATTTCCGCACTTTTTGCTCCTATGAGCAGAAAAAAACCAAATCTTGCGTGAGCAGCAATTTAACTCTGAAATCGTTACTCTATGTTTTAACTGGATTCTGATTCATAATAAATGACTCCAGCTAAATGACTCATAAAATAACAATAACCAGGCTGGGGTTGGGCATTTATCATATTGTTTGTTGTTATAATTATACACACTGGAAAAAATCTAAATCTACATAAGAAATTTTTTCTTAAAATAAGTGAATTTTTCTTGGATTGAGGAGGCAAAAGAGACATTTTGCCAATGGAACAAGACAATTTACACTTTTAAATAAGTAAACATAATTGCATTGTCTTATTTCAAGTGCATAATATCTAATTATCTTATTTTAAGAAGAAAAATACCCATTCCATTGGCAAACTATCTAATTTACCTACTCAAATTAAGGGTGAATACAGTCAATTTAAGAAATGTTTACTTATTTCTAGATCTTTTTTCCAGTGCATTGCTAGTCTTAATAACAATTTTAATTCATTGTATAAACAATAAATTGGAATTAGTGATGATAATAAAATGTGTGAATTTGTATTTCTAATATTTTTATTCTTTCACTTATGATTAAATGCAGCTACTAAAGAATGTTTATTGATATATCACACTTCTTTATATAACTATTGTCCTGAAAAAAAGCTTATTCTAAATTTTAGTTTTTAGGCTACTTTGGGCTAGCCTGACGTAGTCCTACTCAATTCTAGTCAGAAATTGAGTCTGATACTGCTCCATAGAGCTGTGATTATGGGGCGTGTTTTGAACGAACCAGGAAAAAAAATGCCTCTGCACTCAATTGGATAGACCTACAACCAATAAGACCTACAACCCGCCAGATATTGTGCGAGCATACTTGCGCTACTATTGAGCAATGCCAGACCGAACTTCCCGACCTCAAACGTTGTGGGCGGGACTAAGTTCGGAATGGCACCCAGGCTAACTTTGGGCTACTGTCACAGTAAAAGAAAGTTAAAAAAAAAAAACAATCAACTGGGCTTTCCGCTTCCCATCCAGGAAGCTTTTTCAATTCAAAATGTCAGGATTAGTGTTGAGTTAATGGGCTACTGTATAAAACCTCAAACTCAACGCTATTTTTTTTACATTTTGTACTGGAAAAAGCTTCCTGGATGGGAAGCGACACGTCTTCTAACATGGAAACAAAGTCCAATGGATTGTTTTTTTTTTTTTGTTTTTTACTTTTTTTTGAATGACGTTGACCTGGATGACTGAGAATCTTCCCCACCAGACTTCAAAGAATACTGAAAGTATTTTTATCTTCAGTTTTATTGGTGTCACTATAGTACCAATAAATATCGAGATAAGATCTTCGGGCCGTGTCGCAGACCGTGTTCCTATTGCTTTGGATTCACTGATCCCAGTTCATGACTAGTTTATCTATTTACTGGAATAAAAAATTAACTCACTCTTTGCATCTTTGGAACATGCACGCTTTACTGGAAAAGTTTCCCTCTAGCAATCAGAAAGTGGGGTTTCAATTCCAAATGATTTTTTACCTTACGATTTAAGCGAAACATCTTAATGACCACTTCAAATATTTTCTGCTGCATTATCCAACACCACAAAATATATACTCCTGGTAGATAAAGTATGTAGCCGTAGTAGATCTCTTTATACAGATCCTGCAAACATTTATATTATGGCAATAAATCTGTGTTATGCAGAGGTGAAAAAAGGAGAAAGATCCCTCCCTCTGTTTGCTTTAAGCTTGTAAAAGTTTAGAGAAGAATATGGATGCATGCAAAAATTTTAGATTATTTTAAACGGTTTATTCCCATTGTTAAATGAAATAAGAATTTACAGATTGATTTATCTATTCAAATCTTTTTATACATCTTTATTTGGGGGAGGGCTATTCAAAGTATCAGTATAAGTTAATGTTTAATAAGACATTAAAAGTTCACCAGTGATTAACCAATCCATGTTTTAACAGTTTCTTTGTTCTTCTCGCTCTGATTTTCTTTCAGCTTATCAAGTTTTGGGAGGCGTTCCTGCCTGAGGCGAAGGCCATAGCTTAATGAATTGGATCTCCTTTCGTTTGTTTGTTTTTTGTTTTTTTTGTTTTTTTTATTAAATAAAAAAAAAACCAACTGCCTTGTTGAACACGTTTACCTCTTTGCCAGGAGTCGAGAGGACTGTTTGGAAACACAGAAGAAACTTCCGTCCATTTTCTCTCTTATTGATTTAAATGAAATCTTCCTTATAGATATTTGGTATAATAAGCTGCCACATTAATACATTATGTATTTTGACATTTTTGTGTGTGTTTTGTTAAAAGAATGATGGAAAGAAAGTTTGGAGTCTGACATGAACTTGCCTAAACCGTGTAAAAAAAACTCTCTCTTCCTATTAAATGTTATTGTTTTTTTTGTTTCTTTTCCCTTTAATTGAATATATTAAAATCATTATACCATAATATTCCAGAGTATCCTTCCCTGTAGTTTACATTGGACGACAGGCGTATGCAAGTCATTCCACCCCATTAGCCGCTGTTGAATAGATACATGTTACAAAAAGCTTTTTTTTTTTTTTTTTTACTAAAACACCATTTTCAATGACTATAAAATGAATTAACCCATTAAGGTTTATTACACAGCATATTTTGAATAATCTGAGCATTATGAACTAACATTACAGGCTATTAACCAGTTAAACAGTTATAAGCTGAGAATACAATCTGTATTATTTCTGCCTGCTCTCTCATATTTATTGTATTACTGACTTTTTTTCTGTCCATATATTCAATATTGTTACATTTATTTTTGTCATAAGCTAATCTGGGCTAATATGGACCTATTGCAGTGTTTCCATTCTCTCATGTTCAACACGTGAATTAGATCATACAGATACTGACTGACATTACACCTGGGTATTAGATTGGTGGCTGGTAATACAGTAAGGGAGAAATTGATGCCACATCAGATGGTTTCTTTATTTACTGTTTACTGATTGTAGACCTGTCCTTTACACAAGAATGTGCTTTATTTTTATAACCAATTTGCATTAGTGCATACATTTTCTTTAAAATGTTAATGAAGTAAATGTACATAATAAATGTTTGACTAAGGTTTGGGCATTATGTCTTTTTTTTATACTTCACATTTTACATATTTGGGTGCAAGTGGGGTTTTTTCTTCCAGTATTCGGAAAAGTACAACTGCCTTGGTCACAGTCGGTATCAATTTTTTTAATATTCTTGAATATTTCATTTTTTATGCCCAATTGGTTAATGCCAGTACTTGAGTTGAGGGGGGAAGGCATCCCCCTTCTTAAAAAAAAATCTTTAAAATCACCCCCCTTCTTAAATGACCATTCCCCCCCATACCATTCCCTGTGACATTTTATTACTGAATGTGTAAATGTTCTACTATATATTAACAGTAATGGCAATAATATTGCCCTTTCAACATTTGGCTTTATTTTGGCTTTTGAGCAAAATAAACTCAAAGAAGTGTCCTACTATGACTATGAAGCTGATCCCAGTGGGAAATGACTCCCCAACTATATAAGGGCATTGATAGCCATGCCAGTCCAGGACTGACTGCAGTTCTACTGTAAGGAGCCTTGGTCAAGGTCAATGACCGGCGTACCTGACATGGAACAACCGTACCATGCATATTGGTTTAGGTAAATAGAATATATGAATTAGGCTATGTATGCTTCCAAAAAAAAAAAATCAGAATCAACCATCCCCCTTCTTCTTTTTTTTTTTTTTTTTTTTTTTTTTTTTTACAACCAGTCTACTGGTTAATGCATTAAATTACCTCAGCCAACAGTTTTTGTTTTGTCTCCTCATGTTTTTAATTATTTCTTTCATACTCATTTTATCCAAATATTGCCTCCATACCCTTTTTCTGTAGTTCCACTCTCATGTCACATCTCTGACAAAACAATCTCTAAATAGTGAAATTATTTGCAAATTATGATTTGAATTTCTCCTCTTGGTATTTTTTTTAAGATTGTTATATTATCAGTGATGCATGTTATATATTTTAAAGGATGGATGATTAATTTCTCTTAAGGATTAATAAAGTGTTTGGGAATTGAATTGAATTATTTCAGATTCCCCCAGACATAAATTTACTATTCTTTTATGCCACATATATGTTAGTCCTTATTTAATTGTAGTTCTGAGTAATAATTCAATATATATCACTATATTGTTTTATTCAGTAGCTGTGATGCAGTATATTTCCAAAATAAAGTTCTGTGCATTGCTTTTTAAAGCAAATGTTTCTAAAATGTTTTAATGGAGGAATTTTATCAACATGGCAAAATAATTGTCATAAATCTGCACAGGCATCTCTTATACAAATTCTTATAAATTTTAAAATTATATTGAGTTGACCTAAATTAAGAAATGTATCCTGCTATAGGTTTTGGCAATAAAGTCCAGCCTTTGTCGAATGATCCTTGAATTTGCCTATAAGAGTTTCAAAAAGCAATAAAAGATCAACTAGAGGTGCTTGATTCCACTGATGGGCTTTATGCCCAGCTCCACTACTTCCTGAACCTAGTAACCATGACCACATTGGTCAGACACACCTGGATTAATCATCCTGTCCTCTAATGAAAGACAGGAAACAGAGGAGCTGGCTGAAATTCAGGAAGTAATGGAGTTTGGCATGTAGCAATGTTTGGCCAGTAGGTGGCAGTAAACTGAGTAAAGAGGATGGATATGGGATTACTGTAAACTACAGTTTATTCTATAGATCTTTAGAACTTTAGACGTATGTGTTGAGTGGATTAATTCAATTGTAGATAACTTTTTTTTTTCTAAAGAAGTTTAAGTAACTTTTACAGCAAACATTGCTGGTGTTATATTGGTAAAAATATTTTCCTATGTAGAGTTGACCTAAAAATAACCCCCTCCGCCTTAGCTCTACAGTGTTGCCCTTTTGTCTGCCAGGTAACATCAATCAAATACTATTAGTTTGAAGCAGGCAGAATATTATGATGGTGAAAACCAGAAGGGCAGCAGGAAAGGTGTACGCCACACTAAGGAGTATGAGAGCATAGTGGAAGTGGGGGAATTATCTGCTCTCATGTTAACGATGTGCCAAAATCATTAATTTAAAAGTACTCATATAATTGGAAATTTATGTTTTTTACACTGCAAAAATAACATAGTGGAAAATCTTTTTTTTTATTACTTAACAGTAAGTAAAAACGGTGTTTACAGTAACTTTATAAATCAAAAACATAAAGGAATTCTGGACCATAGTTAGCAGGGGGGCCAGTGTTTTTACACAGGGACTCACAATATTAGTATAAAACAAAAACAAAAACAGGGCATTAGTTATAGTGATGATATTTTAAGGGAGTTTCAGAAGCATATAGCTGATTGTGTCTCTGGGGAGCCCAAATATAACAGAAAAAAAGTAGGGGTGCACCCATTTATCAGCCCACTGTTAGTTAATAATGTTGGAAGATCTGTAATCGGCTGATACTTGAAACTAATTTTAACCACCAATCTTATCTACCGCCACAAAAATTCTAATAATAATCCATTATTAATGCTCTAAGAATTTCAATTACAATTGAGAGCATTCATTTTTGCAGTTAATACAAGTTTTTTTTACTGTATGTATTGTCCTTTATTTAAAAATATTAAATTGAAACATTAAATATTTATTGGGATCCTATAGCAGCTGTTATAAAGAAATAACGGTCAAAATTGGAATTGGCACCCAGGCTTTTTATAGATGATACAACTGAAGCTACAAGTGCAAACACCTTCATTTTTTAAATTAATGTTGAAATAAATATGTGAAATAGATCCCAGAAAGCTTTTTATGACAGCTTCTGTCCCAGTACATGCAGTCATAGGAAAATTATTTTTGCATAACAGAATTTACCATTAGGCAATACTAGGCAGTTGCTTAGGGCCCCAGGTTTCTGGGGGCCCCATAAAACTCTGTTTACATGTATGGTAATACAACTATTCCTTATCTGTGTACATTAATGATGTTTTTGATAAAAATCCTTTTGTAGGGTGTTCAGGTGGTGCAGCGTTTAGCACGCACAACCCATGTATGGAGGCCTTAGTCCTAGACGTGGGCGTACAGAAGTTTTTAAAGTCTATTCTCTGAGATACAGGGAACCAGTATAAGGACTTTAGAACTGGGGTGATGTGCTCTACTTTCTTAGTCTTAGTGAGGACACGAGCAGCAGCGTTCTGGATCAGCTGCAGCTGTCTGATCCACTTTTTAGGCAGACCTGTGAAAACACTGTTAAATAAACGCATGGATACGTTTTTCCAGATCATGCTGAGACATTAGTCCTTTAATCCTGGAAATGTTATTCAGGTGATAGAAAGCCAACCTTGTAATTGTCTTTAAATGCTTTTGGAAGTTCAAGTCAGAATCCAGCACTACACCAGGAAAACATTTAAAAACAAACGGTGCAAAGAGCAGTGTTGGCAATTTAGGGCTTTTGTTTCTATATTTAGCGACTTTTTAGACTCCTCCAGCACTTTTATATTTAAAAAAGTGCCTAGCACCAAATCCAGGGACCTTTTTCTGCTAGTGGAGACGTGGGCAACAAAATATAAAAGCAGAGAACTCTGCTCTCCAGAGCAAGTAGATTGGTAACCCTGCCTCCTGCTCTCCTCTCTCTTGTCTGCTGTCGTGATTCATGCAGCTATTATTTCATCCAAATGTAAAATGGAGAACAGAGAAGCAGATCATGGCTTGTCTACAGTGGAAAGAAGGACTGTGGTATTTACTTTTGCCGTCGCCTTTTTGGAAACACAGGAAGGAGAAATCAGCTAATTCATTCCTTTTGAACAGTCAGTGTAGTACAAAACATAGACAGGAAAACCAGAAGAGGGGGACAATACGTAGAAAAAATAATGTATGTCTATTCTATTAAAATCTCTGTATCTGTATAATGGGTCTGTTTTATGTGTTGTCTTCTCATTTCAGAAGGCCCCCTGCTTGTCGTTGCCTAGGGCCCCTAATTTCAAAATCCGCCCCTGAGTACAGGGGCCATCTTCTTATGGGATTTTATGGCGGTTGGCAGACTTGTGAATTGTGCATTACCGCCACCAACTGATATGGAGTAAAGCAAGATAACAGGAAACGATTCACCCCCCCCCCAAAAAAAAAAAAAAAAAAAAAAAAAAAAAAAAAAAAAAAAAAAAAAAAAAAAAACCTGTGTAACTTAAACCAACATAATACTAAATCACATTTGCCCATATAATTTTAATTTACTCTAGGTCATCTTAACTCTGCCAGTTTCTGATGGTCCCATCGGTCCTCCCATCATACTTCCAACCATCTCCCAGTTCAAATCTTTAATGTCCAGATATTTTTCTGCAGCCTTCACTATTATTTTGATTTTTTCCGTTTTTTTTGTTGTCTGTGCAGTACAATTAATTACTTCTACCATGAAAAGAACAAAATTTGTCTTTTTAACAATAAGTGAGTCTTCATTAATTTTTGGAGATTTCTCTAGAGGTTTGGAATTTGCTGTGTGTTGAACTGTAGGTTTGGGTTTTTCTGACTGAGATGGGATCCTTTTTGCAGCTTCAGCGTAGGTTATTCCGAGCTCAAATTTCATTTTTTTAATTTCCTCAGACCTTTTGCTTGCTTCACAGCCGCGATAGGCAGCAGTATGTTCTCCACCACAATTACAGCATTTTATTTTAGCTTCTTTTCCACATTTTCCGTACTCATGTTCTCCTGCACACCTTCCACACCTCTGTTTCCCTTTACAAACTGCTGCAACGTGACCGAATTTTTGGCATTTGAAACATCTCAATGGTGGAGGATTGTAGATTTTGACATTATAGCTTATGTAACCGATGAATACTTTGCTTGGTAATTGCTCTTCTTCGAATTTAATTAGCACAGATAAACTGTCAGATCTTTCTCCGTTTCTTGTTGTTTTTAACCGTTTTACTTCTTTTACTTTTGCACCGCTTATGTTTTCCAGAATCTCTTTTTCAGAAATTTTTAGAGGAACTCCTCCAATGACTCCCCTGCTGATCTTTTTGTTCTCCATTAGGCTGCACTGAACTCTTATCCCGTCAATTTTGTTGATACGTATTGCTTTGCCTTGCTGGGCGCTGTCTCTGCAGTTAATTAGCAGGTCTCCACTGTACAGAATTCTGGCACCTTTGACTTCTCCGACAAGTTTATTGATGGTTTTTGTTAAGTGAACCGGATTCCAATTTGTAAAAGAGTCTGCCTGATTAACGACTTTGAATATGACTTTGAATTCATTTTGTTGTGCTGTGGAATGTATGGAATGATCATCACTGGATTGTTCTGAACTAGATTCCCCTTGAACTGATCTCTGTTTTTTCCGCTTTTTCTCATTTTTTGATGTTGCTATTTTCCAACCTTCATTGTCACTATTTCCCTCTTCCATCCCACAAGAATCGCTTCCTGTTTCCTCACTACTCACGGCCCAAGACATTTCTCCATAAGCAGCTTCAAAACACGCGCCATGCACCAAACGACCATCCACCGAGCCTCAAACACTTCTTGTGTCCGTACAGGGGCCATTACAGGAAGCAGTTCTAAAAGGGCGCCTGTTGGCCCCTGTCTAGAACCGCCCATAGATTTATAACGCAAATATTGATATTTTCTCATTTAATAATCAGTGAAGTTTAAATTTTTATTTTGGACCAAAATTTCTTTAACAATTAAACGTTTTTTGTTTGTTTTTTGGGATTTAATATAATCCACGAATTCTTCCTCAGGTCAGCTAATAATCTGCTGCCTCGGTTTGACCTGGAAGTGAGCGCGCTAAAGCGGGCGGTGCCGTGGTTTCTCCATCCGGTGTGTCGGAACCTTTTCACGGCAGGCGAAGAATGGAGAGAGACGCTAAAGGTTGTTAGCGAGCTAACGGCTGAGAAAACCTCCAGCTACGAGAAGAGCGCAGGAGACCTCACATGAATCCCGCCTGCGCCCTGCTAAACTGGACCTGAGCGGGACACGGGAGGGGGGGGGGGGGGGACTGCGTGGACGCGTGGATTTATCACCGTGGAGGTGAGAACATCGCATTAGCTCGATGCGTGCCAGTAAAAGGAGCATTTGTTGAGAGGTTTTCAGCTAATAGGAGCGATGCTAACGAAGCTAATTTCCTTGTTGCGCTCAGTCCAACTGTCACCAGCCATCATTTGGCTGTTTTATCGCTAAGGACAGGTAAGGAAATACATTTATACGCAAATTTTAACAACTTTTTTTTCACCCCACATGATAAACATAAAAATATATCTGCTTTTTTTAAAAATTTTTTAATTAGTAGAATATATTTACACCATAGCAACCTCTTTGGCTAAGTATTGTTTTGCTAAAATTTGCTTCAGGGTTTACTATTTATATTTAATGTTGAACATTCGGTCAATAATTAAGTCGTTGTTTTTTTTAGCAATGTGAGCTTTTATTTTAGACTGCCATTGATAGCTTTGTCCGGGACAAGGTGGTAAACAGCTGCTAAACGTCTCCTTCTGTTGGATCAACCGCAGGCCTCCCTATAGACGGATCGATCAGCTTCATTTTAACCTCATATTCCCTGTTACTGAAGCTGCTGTTAATCTGAGGCTGCTTCCTCTTTCTGGGTTTATTTTTGGACACACAGTCTGTAGATCTTAGCTTTTTAAATGCCCCATTTCGTTTTGAAGACATTGAAGTTTTTTTCCCCCTGACTTCTCAGTTTAAATGCGCTGCACATTTCCTTTTCTTCTGCTCAAACGTTGCATCTCGACCTACATTGTTGTTCTGTGGTTAAACTGATGACTTTACTACAGAATCAACAAAACACCAACAGAAACACAGTGGTTTTTCAATGTTTTAGGTCTCAAACTCTGATATGATCATTTCATAAACACACAGGATCAATCATGCTTCAAATGCTACAAATCAAATTAATTTGGGAGTTTTTATGAACAGCTGAGTCAGAATCTAATTTAGATTTTGGGGGACTTAAGATTTTCTCACAACTACACCGGTTTAAAACATGAGTTTTATAACTAGACCTGAATTGTTTACATGTATGAAATTATAAATTCGCTAAGATATCCGGGGATCCAGGTGCACAGTTTTATATTGTTAAAACACTTTATAGTAAATTATTTGATTGCTTATCTTTTAACTCTTCACCTGTATGTCATTATTATACATCCTTCATAGGTCAACATTTATGTTGCCATTTTTTCTGTAATCTTTTTGCTGGTGTAAACACCAGAATTTCCCCATTGTGGGACCATAAAGGGATTTTCTATTTTATTCTTTTCTATTCTATCATTTTTCCTGCTAGTGGTCTAGCCTCGATCATTTCCCCAGGCCTTAGAACTGGCGGGCCAATCACAACGCAGAGATGTGTTTTGAATTTCTGGATGCAAATTTGGCGGGATTTTGAGGGCGTGACGACAAAGCTTTGCGACGCTGGAGAAAGCGCAACAAGAAAGATGGCAACAACTATTGAACAGTTCTCGTTTGACTCAGCTTTAAATCCGTTTTGGAAGGATTAGACTTTGGGTTTTCGTTGAAACGTGAGCAGGAAGAGGCTCTGCGCTCATTCAGTTTTAGGAAGAACGTATTCGCTGTTTTACCGACAGGCTGTTTGTTTACACTCCCCCATCAGCTTTCTGTCGCGCTTACTACGTCACAGTCAGTTGCGCTCATTGGTCAGAGCGTTGGCCAATAGGCACAGACATGGTTTGAAAAACAATGGGTTGTTCTCATCAACAATCTTTCGATGTCTCATTCATTGGGGCCAGACTAAATTACACATTTAATCTGGTTTATCTGGCTACTATTCTATTCTATATCCTAGTAAATTGGGTACCACTCCTTTTATACATACAAAGATGGTCTTAGACTTAGACAAACTTAATTGTCGTTTGATAAATACAGCTTTCAATAGTGAAATGAACATTACCATTTATAAAGTGCCTCAGTGGACGGTGTAGTTCTACCCAGAACTTTGCTCAGTTTTTTTTTTTTTAGGTTTTTTTTTTTTTTTTTTTTTTTTTGCATACACTAATATAAGCAGCATTTCAACTTCTATATTTTTCTGGACTAAGATTTACATTTTCCCCAAAAAACATTTACCTCAATTTACTCAAGTTATAAAGCAACACTGCAGGGAAGTTGGATTGAAATATGTCTAAATGGATAAGGGTCGTTTTAAGGTTTAACTAGAAAACAAGAAATGAAGCAAATCAAAAAGGATGTATCCAAAATATTTCAACACTTAGAGGCCTTGTTTTTTTTTTCCAACCTATTAGGTTTTTCAGGCGACAAGATAATCCAACGTCAATCTAATCCTTAAATTGTCTATTTGAAATGTTATTTCTTTATAGTGTACAGCAATGTTTCCCAACCGGGGGTATATATACCCCTACTGGTTCGCAAGTGTAATGGTACATGAAAATATTTTGAATTTGAAAAATTAAACAAGCTTTTATTAATCAAAAAATACGTTTTTCTTATGTTTGAGTTCACCTTCAGCTTTGACACACATCAAAACCAAGCAGAGGAGGTCTTTCTAAAAGGTAAACAAGTTTACATTCATGGTGCAAAATGCATTGATATAGAAGGTTCAGTGGAGTGCAAAATAAATAAATGTTGCAAAATGCAGTAGAGGAATGAGTTGTGTTCTATTTAAAGTCTGACTGATATATTTATTTTTTCTTCAAACAGCTTAATTTATCTTTTGCCTTGGCTAGGGAGGAAACTGGTCGCTTTCATTCATCCAGCAGAACGGCAGTGTGCAGCAAAACAGACTTTATTCTCAAAGCTAGAAAAAAATCTTCTCATTTAAACAATCTGAACTAAATAAGCCATGTCATGGAACACATTAGCGCTTTTTGACACCACAACTTTTTAAAACCTGATTCTTGTAACCAGTCTGTGTTTAATTTTTATCAGGTTTGGAAAACATCGTTTATAAAAGCTAAAAAGCATTCAGTATTTTGGATAATTGTCCTTTGAACTTATTGTTTTTTTTCTGACTAGTTATGTGAATGTTTTGTAATGCCTAACTTCTTGTTGTTTAATCCAATTGCTTGCAGGGGTATGTAATAGATAGTTTATAAATTATCAGTATTCTGATCCCAAAGATGTGAGGAGATTCAGATTTAATGAAAACAGTTTAAGACTCTGGTTATGCCAGTCACTGTGGAGTCTGATCACTTAAGAAGACAGGTCAAACCTGTAGATAACGCACATCCAAGATAATTAACATGAAATGCAGCAAACGCACAATTAAATTAATCGGGCGGAACCATTCTGAGAAACCAGGAAGTAGAAAGGACTGAAATGTTTTTATTTTGTTTTAAATATAGTGATTCTATAGAGAAGTTGGTGAATATTGTGTGTTTTGACAATATCTGCTCAGCATGATCATAACAGTAAGGTAAAAAAAAAAATGGCAGCTCTGAGTTCCAGATCACAAAAAACATACCCATTGTGTTTTTTTTTATTAGTGGTTTTGCAGATGGTCATTGTACTTTTTTCTTTTTTTTTTCTTTCTTTTTTTTAGTTTAAACTCTTCTGGTTTTTCCAATCAGAAGGGGAAAAAAAGCAACACAAAAAAGTAGTTTTTTTTGTTTTAATTGATCAAGTTGCATAAATGTGATGTTTGAGATCCAACGTATATATAAGAAAGAGGAAGCTGTAGTTTCTATGATAAGGGAGGCAGCTGGTAGCTGGCACTAACCCAGTGGGAGTCTGCTCTGTTGACAGACCCCCCCTGAAAGGCTGATCTTTTCACTGAAGGTTAATCACTGCGCTATAAACCGTCAGGCTTTTTATTAAAGAAAAATGTCATGAAATGCTAAACAACATTCTTTTTTTTTTTTTTTTTTTGTTTAGCTAAGAAACTTTTGGGCACATTTTTTTTTCACAGAAATTTTTTAGACAAATACAGTATCTGCTGCAAATAAAACAATTTATTTTCTATAAAAATTGTATATTTTCAATATTTAACTTCTCAATAAATTTGTTTAGTTGTTGCTAAATACCATCATCATATGTTTAATTTTATTTTTACTAACAATCCTTGCCCTTTGGAATAATTTCAAATAAACACCCTCTGTGTTTTCTTCTGTATTTAGACAAATACTATTTTATCAGTCAGCATATTGATTTGACGAACTGAATTAAACAGTAATGTATTAGAATATGTATTGAACTGCACTGGTTTGGACTTTGAATATATTAAGATAAAAATTGGTTCAGTTATGTTCAGTATTGTCGTTCCATACAGATGAACCAAATTGAGTTAAAAGTTAAATAAGACCTTTAAACTGAGGCTAAAACCTGGACTGATATCGAATGATTTTACAAAAGATAATGACGAGCCTCTAATGTAAACATTTCATTCAGTGATCACTAATGTCTGTTTGACTGTTGTCCTGCACAGAGACGTGCTAACAACCCTTGTCCTCTGTAAATAACAATTTTTCCATGTTAAGTTCAAGCCATAGTTCTGATTTAAACCTTTTTCGTCATGCAGCTCTGATTAAAGACATGGAAAAACAAGAAATTTAGACCAGATGACCACATTTGTCATTATAAATGATCAATTATGTCTTTAATATGAAACAAAGCTATTTAAACCATCATTGTTTCTCCTTTTTTGTTTTAAATGGGAAGAAAACAATGTCTGGAGACATGGCATTTCCATGTTTCACACAGAATGTGGAAGAAAAATAAGCAAGAAAAAAATCTACAATTGAATCTATTTGTTAAAAAAAAGACAAATGAATTGTCAGAGGAATGCATGGGTGGGAAACATGAAAAATGTCTCCATGTAATCTGCATCCAAGGTGCTTTCACAGGCTGTGGGGATTCCCCAGCCCATGTCAGGTCCCAAAGCTGCAGGGATAAGGCTGGGCTGCTACACCCTTCACACGATTTCAGCTGAAAGGGATGTTCTGCCTCTATTTTTAGACTCTTACTCATTGACAGGACCTTCAGTTTCACACCTCCCTTAGTAAATTATCAGTCCGTTTAAATAACACAAAATAACCTGAATATAAAACCTATTGTGGGGTTTAGATGCTTTGATCTGTGAGATTTGGGATATTGGAGGATTTTCATCTTAATCTCTCTATAGTAATCTTCAGGTTGGGCATGTCTGGGCATGTTATATTGTCCATAGCACTGCTTGTTAGATGAACTATGCATAAGCTTTGGTCGGTGAGAAATTCTCACTGAAATAATACAGTATTGTGATTTTATATACACAAGAAATTGAGGTAGAATGTAAAACAGGATGTAATCCGTTTAAAACTTAAAAGCAACAAATATATTCCCTAACACAGCTAAAATCAAACCTAATTACATTTATCTGTAATATTCATGACATTTTGATATTCAAGCACCAATCTAGAATAAAATCTCTAAACTTGGTTGAAGGCTGATGTTATACCTTTTTCTTTGGGGTTCTTTACACCCCAAAGAAAAAGGAGAGCGCATGGTAGTGCGCTCTCCTTATGAACACGAGTAATTATCTCTGTAACAGCCTTCATGCTGTAAAGTGAACAGCGGTGCCTGTGATATAATGGCTTATGATGGTGTGTGAACTGATTGAATGCATTTTGAGGAGGGTGCACTTCCTCAGCCGCCGATCAAAACGCTCCGATCAGGATGGCCCACAAATCATTATTTGCAGAATGGCAGCTGTTCCGACTCAGCCTGGGTCTTAGCTCCAAAACGTGCCTTTATTGTTGTGTTGTTAGGCTCTTGGTTTTATGTAATATCACCGGCGCTCAGTTGCCCTTGAGAGCAAACGCGCTGTCTTTGATGCTCAGATCTGTGCAGGCAACACTGAGCATGAGTCATCCAGAAGCCCACACACACACAATACCATCAGCGGCAGGCTTCACATGCTCAGGAATTAGACCATTGTGATGAAAACAGTTTTTCTTCTTTTTTTGCTTTTCACGAGGAGTTCCTCTTTTTTTCACTTCAAATCCAAACTGTTGATGAGAAAAAAAATCTGAATAGCTTGTAGTTTCCTATAGTAGATTCAAACAGAACACGAGGAGAGATGTAACAATGACAACATCACTAGTTCTTCTTATTACATAAAAAACAAAACACTGAGATGCATTTTATCAGTAAAAAAAGACTTTATATCTGCAGACGTTTTGGAAGTTAAGAAATCAAACGTGTGCCCTTAGAAGTAGAAGACGTGGCTTTATATAAACATTTACATAATACTCTCTGGTATCGTCCTCTGGATTGTGGCTGTGGGTGGTGTGATGCGGTTGTGATGATATACTATGGCTTAGGCTTTGTGTTGATGCTAAAACTGGTCCAAGTGTTTTGTTACCACTGGGACTTGATTACTATCTCTTAAGGACAGCCATACTTTTAGGGTGAGCCACAGCTCTTCTAGTTTCATGCTCTGGGCATGTTTCAAAGGTTATAAATGCACTTTGGGCATCTTAATTGTGTGAAACCCTTTCTGATATGTGCCTTTGTAAATTCTCAGTCATCCAGGTCATGGCAACCACAAATCGGCGTAACCTGACTTTTGAAACCTTTTTTGAGCTGTTTCGACACCTTTCTAGGAGTCTTTGTCAATTCTGTCGAGCGCACCAGAGCAATCTGTAGTTGGAGCTCTGATATAGTTAAGCAGCATGGACGTCCATCGTTCTGTACACATTCCAAGTCGGATGCTAATCAAATAGCCACCCTTTGTTCTTCTGGATTGTTGGAGCTATGTGATTGGTCTTTTGGTTCATAATGGGAGGGCTTATTTAATTTCTTGGGAATCAGTTCTATGACTGAATTGTAAACGCTTGGAAGCTGAAACCGCAATCCTCGCCCTGTGTTAAGTGATAGTTTCTTTTTTTTCCCCACAAAGATGGCTTCCTTGACCCCTCTTTCAAACTGTCCTCTCTGTCCGAAATCTGAACACTTTGGTCTTCAAATGTGGGCAATGGGCCTCAGAGGCTACGCATGTGCACAACTAATTAAATGTAAGATATGTAAACTGGATTTATATCAGTCCCTTAGACTGAAGCCATGGTAAAAGTAGACCTTTAAATTGTAGTGTTTTTAGCTATAGGAACATATTGAGACATGCTCTTGCCTTTGAAGCAGTTGCAGAATAAACCAGGGAGAGAGTAAAGTGTTTGATGCAGTCACACTGCAGGCCTTAATGCTCAATTCTGTTCCTTTTGTGAAATACGATTTATTTATTTTTTTTGCGACGCCATTTACATTTCCTAATAGATGTGACTTTTCTGTGATTTCCTGTGTTAACTGCATTCATACAGCTTAAGTGTCCCACATGCGCAGTAGAAGACGCAATGATGTCACAAGCAAGCATGCTCTGTGTTTACAGAAGTAAACATGGATGGTAGTGTTGGAGTGCATCTAGCGATCTTTCCCAACCTTAAAAACTCAATCTTTCCAAGGTGGTTAAGAAAAGACTGCTCTTCGCATTAGCGTTCGCCATGGTTGTTGTTTTTCTTCCCGCTTCTGTGAGCAAGATGCAGAATAGTGACCTTTGTTGAGTATTAATGTTGTTCCGGTCGAATGAAAGCGGTCTGGCTGATCTTTGGTCGCATTTGAAACGATCAGAATCGTATCGGATTCAGGACCACATAGCCAAGTGGCCTGGGTCTTATTGGAAAAATTCAGATCTTTGTTGTTCAGACTTCCATGAAAAGATCAGATACAGGTCGTATATGCGCAAAAAAATCAGATTTGGTTCACTTAAGGCTGCAGTGTGAACGTAGCCTTAGAGGAGAAATTCAGGAAAAATTAGAGATTCTGCAGCCCACCAGCATCTCCAATGTCCTTAGTTGTCGTTTGTTTTCTCAGCACATGTTTTAAGTAAGGGGAGGGTCCTATGGTAACTGGCATCCGCAATCCTGCCGGAAAGCGGGGACGAAGTTGTTGTGGAAGAGGACGCCATGGCGGCAGAAGCTTGGTTTGGTGTGGAAGGCTTGCAGCCGTACATGTTTGAGCCCTTGCCTCGCAACGCTGCCAGTTCTGTTAGCTCTACGCCTGCTGAAGACACAGACGTCCATCCCTGTGAACACTGGACGGAACTCATGTTTTTCCACTTTCTCACCGCCTTGGCCATATCTAGACCCACAGCTAGTTCTTGATTGTCCCTCTTGCGTTGTTCGCGTGGAATAACATAGCGCAGACCATGCTTCCAAATTGGGCATATATAAAAAATATCTGCGACAAGCTCACTGCGACACACTGCTGCAGGAGTTTAACAAGCCCTTTAGTTCGACAGTCACATTTGCTCTTGTTTAAGTGTTCTATGTTCCCCTACCATTATTCAAGGGGGGCGCCTCGGCCCGCTCCGTCAACCCCCGCCCATCATATTTCAGATAGTGTGTTGCTGTCCCCCAATGCAGGAGGCTCTGCTCAACGTCTCACTGGTTCAAGCTGATATTTTGTATATGAAGAAGCGATGAGGGCCCCTCCCAATATGGAAAAAAAGAGAAAAGAACAGGTGTTCCTGTTTTGCATGGTCTAACCACTGGGTAGGAACACTGTTTATACCGCTCCCAGGAAGTTGGTCTGTTTCTTTAAATGTTTTCTCTTTGTTTACAGTCCTACTGGCTGTCGAAAGATGGACTTCAGATTGTTTCGAAATGGGATTATAACCTCCCCCAGACTGATGGCCAGCACATTTGCTTCTTTATGCTTACAGCTGCACAATTCAGTAAATCACTCTTGATTATGATAACATTCCAACAACAGGAGGACTGCTTGGATGCCATATTTACGAGTGTTACATTTCTGGTGTCAAAATTATATTTTTAAATATAGTGACTGAAATAAAAAACCCTACAGACGGAAAAATGGATACGTCATAAGAAAGCAACTTTGATATGAAAAATATGGATTTAATCATTTCTCATATTTCCAATATAGATTTTAAAACTAGTATGACAGCTGACATGTTCTGCTGATATACTGGAACCCTTTCTAAGGTCATTGCTTCAGGCTTTTCTGTGTTGGCTTGTTGTTAGCGGTCACCTCATGTTGGATAAATCCAGAGCCTGGTTACAACCAAGTTGTTTTGAACATTGTTAGGGGGGTGTACTTTCTTTTTTGAAACCACTGCACGCACGTACTAAAGTCCAATGTGACTGCTCCCCAGTTGCTGCCTGTTTGTGTGCTGGTAGACTTATCTCTAAAGGAATTCTCCTTAGAAACACAGCTCTTGTTTCTCCAGTTGTTTATTAACACATAAACCAAAAGGAAAGTTATAAGCTAAGCTAAACCAGGAACCTTTTTATTAGAGATATTTTACAGCTGGTACAGCTTCCCTGTCTGCCTCATTCCAGCAGATTTCTGCTCTAATTTCTTTTTCCTGCTTTGCAGGTTTTCTAGTAACTCCTAGAGTGAAGTTGGATTTATACAAAGCTTTTTTTTGTGTTTGCTTTGTCTGCCATTCTGGTGTTAAGAGGTCATTGTACTGTTTGCTCTGTCAACATGTGAATAAGACCTACCCTGCTAGGATTGTAAAGCCTTCTTCTTTTCTACTGTTATGTCTAAAGATTTATCATTTTAATGTGTTTTATATTAATCTAGTTTACTTGTCAGGGCCACCCCTTAAAGAGCCTCCTGCTAACAAAGAGAGATTTAACCCGTTTTCTCTCACTTCATTTTTTTCCCACAGGTGTCCACAAATGTTGAGGCCCAACAACTAATATAGGTGAGGGTGAGGTTGGGGGAGTGGACCGCTCCAGCTTCTGACCCATGACAGTGGCTGTCCAGTCCAGGTGCCACTGGTAACCAGAGCTGTGGCTGCTGCGGTGGGCCCGGCCCAGGAGGCCTTACTGTGACCAGTGCTGCCATGGATCCACAAAGAGAGAAGTATGGCGAGCGGCCGGCTAGAGGCACCAAAGTTTCCCAGGGAAGCCGGAGCGGACACTCGACCCGGCAGTCGGGCTCCTCGAGCACGTCTGGCGTTCTCATGGTGGGACCTAATTTCCGTGTGGGGAAGAAGATCGGTTGTGGAAACTTCGGGGAATTGAAGCTCGGTATGTTTGGAGTTTAATTCTTGTCAGAACTGGTAGCACATTAGACGACACACTCTGTTGGTGACTTAATGGTGTTGGTCACTAAAAATGCAAGTGAAAATTGTCACTGCAAGCTCATCCAGGAGGAGCAAGTCAGTGACTGGATCCAAACAAATGGTTTTCCCTGATAGAAAACTTTCAACCAATCAGAGTGTATTTTTCTCTCTAGATGACTCTGTAGATGAATATTGTAACTAATGCTACGTTCACACTGCTATCTTCGTTATTAATTTTAAATGTTTTATTTTTTGCATGATGATTCAAACTACTACTTCATTTCAGCCAACAGTCTGAATGCTTTATGGCCCCAATGCATCATGCATGTGTAGAAAGAACAGTGTGTACTGCGAAAAAAAATCTAATCTAAGTTAGTGAATTTTTCTTCAAAAAAGTTTTTTTCTTAAACAACTTTGCTAATGGAATAAGACAATTTGCATTTAAAATAAGAAAAATCATCTGCAGTGTCTCATTTAAAGTGCATAATATCCAATTTTCTTAGTATAAGGGTACAAATACTAATTCCATTGGCAAATATTCTTATTTATCTTCTCAAATTCAGGTTAAACAGACTTATTTTAAGACATTTTTACTTTATTTTTTTATTTGTTGTAATTTCTGCTTATAAAAGTGGCACAATTTGGATTTATTTTTTATTTTGTTTGAGGTAAACAGATCGGAATCAGGTCGTTCTGCCATGAAAAAGTCAGTTACGAGTCACATAGGAACAAAAATATTGGATTTAAGTCACATTTTCCTGCAGTGTTAATGTAGCCTTAAAGTTTCCTATTCAGTTTTTCCATTTACTAATTCGTACCCATATTTAGTCCCTCACTACCTCCAATGGTGCTTGCATTCATAGCTCTTTTCCCCCATATACTATAACCATTTTTTCCCTGTGGTTCAATATTTAAATGAATATTGAAGATGGATTTTCCTAAAATGCATATTCTTAGCTGACCAATTTGAATTATGTCTTCTCCCTGATCCCACTTGGGACTGTTAACTTAAATAAATTATGACAGATTAGAACCCAAAATTGCCTAATGACAGGATGGGATATATGATTTATCTGGGCCACATTTCCTTCCTGTAGACTGTCTGAGTAGAACATAAATTGGTTTAAATGTTTGGCTGTCAAAGTAGGTATTAAATGTTCCTGTGTTAGTCTGAATAGGGGCCTGGTTGGCAGAAAACATCCTACGGCAGACGGAACCAACTTAAATAGGCAGGATGGTGAAGGTTTAAAATGAATACACAGGATAAGATGGTGTGATTGAACGTTTAATCCTACTTTTCTGTCTTGTTTCAGGTAAGAATCTCTACACAAATGAGTATGTAGCCATTAAACTGGTAAGTCCCCTGCAGTTATCTTAAGCTTTTAACTTATTACTTCTGTGCTGGAATACAGATGAAAATGGCTAAATTGTTTTAACATAGAGATCCTTTGGAGATTGGAATCAGACAAATTTTTAATGGTTTTATTCAATAAAAAAATTTATTAATCCCATAGGGAAATTACCGGTAGATATAATTAAATTAAATGATTACATTTTATTTGAATTGTATTTATGATTAATTTAATGTATATAATTAACGGATAACAAATATAATTATTTATATATATATTAATAATAAAATATAGGGTTGATTATTATTATTCTATATTTAAATTATGTAAAATAAAGTTTTACTCTGTTTCATCCATTCATTGAATGGATTATAACTAATAACTCTAAAAAAATGACTCTTGCTTTTGACTTTTTCCAGCAAAACAGTAATTAGAAGGTTAAAACCTAAGAAGCCAGAAATATATCTGAAATAAGAGCCCTTTTTTATTTTTGTGATTGTTACTATAAGAGTTATTTCTGATTCTGTTTCTTTTCTTCTTTTACGTGTTTGGTCTTGTAGGAACCAGTGAAGTCGAGGGCCCCGCAGCTACATTTGGAATACCGGTTTTACAAAAGTCTTGGGACTACAGGTGAGAGAAAAGATGTGGATCTAGTTCCCCGCTATGTTTATGTGTGACTTCATGGTGATGGTTTCAGTGTTTGGGAAGATGAGTCCAGAGATTTCATCATTTCCACAACAAGTGATTAGTCATCCCAGAGCGCATGCTGATGTAGAGCTGGTTTAAAAGCTTGCCTTAATCTGCAGGCTGTTTTGTAGAAAGGTGTATGAAAACCTCCCTGTATATATGAAGAGACAACTTCCTGAGTTACAGTTTCTTTTGTTGGAGTTTAAGTTAAGATTCCTATTAACCTAGAAAATGTATATAGAGCTTATTTTCTGGTTGACTGGAATTTAGGACAGCCGTTTTTATGTCAGACAAATCAGCAAAAGCAGCAGAGATTGACTCCGTTTCTCAGTATCTTCTCTTCCATAAAATATTGTCTCCTGCTTAATTTGTTTCCAAGGGTTCAGCCGATGGGAGAACTATAATTTTGAAACGGCTGCCTTCATCTTAACCTTTCTGAGCTTCATCCTTTTATCTTAGTTGCAGATTCAAAAGAAACAAATGTGTTTCTGTCCACCAAGCAAATTTTATTTTTCAAGCTTATTATATTTGAACTCAGCATGTTTTCTCTTTATAAATAACACCCGTTTGCTTTCACTATTAATCTAACAACGCATTATTCAGTACAGGGGCTCCTTTTTAAAGATGCTATTCCAGATGCTGCGACCTCACATTTTTCATGACAAGTATCATCAGGGATTACAGTATTCTGGATTTTCGGCTTGTAGTGAATGCCCGTGGTTAAATCAAAAATCTCTCCAAAATAAATTGACAATAAATAAAAAAAAAGAAAAAAGACATTTGACTTGTGTTTTTCAGCCAATGGTAGCAAAGGAGCTCTCTGAAACTAACAGTGTTAGCTAATCAGAAGAAGGAGGAGGGGGCCTAGGGACCGGTAAGGCAGGGGGGAAGTACGGGGCCGCCGGTGTCCAGGCTACTGTCACCAGGTCGGGTTCGGTCACTCCCTACCCTCATCCGTCAGGGTTCCCGGACCGGTCCCCAAGCTGACGGCTCTGTTCGAGTCCCCGGTGTGTTTCGACTATGTGCTGCACTGTAGTCGGCCAAAATCCCGGACGATTTTGAAATTCCCATTTTTTTTAGGTCTGAAAAGTAGGACATCTCTGGGGAAAAAGAGGACTTCTGCTATGGCTACAGCTGATGTACCAGCGTCAATAAATGACCGTGTATGCGTGTTAGAAATAAGGGTCTATGTGTATATGTATGTATATATATGTATATTTATATATATATATATATATATGTTTATATATATATATATATATATATATATGTTTATATATATATATATATATATATATATATATATATATATATATGTTTATATATATATATATATATATATGTTTATATATATATATATATATATATATATATGTTTATATATATATATATGTTTATATATATATATATATATATATATATATGTTTATATATATATATATATGTTTATATATATATATATATATGTTTATATATATATATATATATATATATTAGGGATGGGACGATTTATGAAAACCATCAGAACCGTTCGGTTCGACTGCCTCGGTTCGATTCGCGTGTGTTGCGTTTGGTTCATGCGCTGCTCCTTTTTCTCATAGGCGAAGCTTCTCCACTCCAGAGCAGAAGGTGGCGGTACTGCGACCAAAGCCAACCACCAGTAGTAAACAAGAAGAAGAAGAAGCGAAGCAGCGTAGCCGGGTGTAGCAGGGAAAAAAATCAGTTGTTGTGGAGAATTGTGTCGGAATGGGGAGTGGGAAAGAACAGGAGTTGGAAGATGCACCAGCAGCACTTTATAGCTCTGCTGTATGGGAGCGCTTTGCATTTAGAGTGACCTACGATGACGGCGGGAAGAAAGTTGTGGATAAAAGTGCAACAGTGTGCAAGCATTGTCCAACACGTTTTGTTTACGCTAACAGCAACATGACCAACATGTCATGCTAACCCCGAAATCCCACATACTCCGTCAGCAACCCCCGCTGCGCTCCAGACCGGCTGCTCAAAGCAAAGCCTACAGCCCCCACTGTGGCTTCGTCTGCTCCCCTCTCTCTCCCTTGGAGATGGTAGAAAACATGCGCGAGATGATTAAATTCAAAGCAGCAAAACATACGGAAATGATCCAGGGTTTCCGCGGATCATTTAAAATGATTACAATCCATTATTTTTGGGGGGATTTTTTCATAAATTCCATACATTTTTATGGGATTTCGGTGTAACAATCAATATGTATCGAACCGAACCGAAAACCGTGACCAGAAACCGTGAATCGAACCGAATCGTGGATTTTGTGAACCATTCCACCCCTAATATATATATATATATATATATATATATATATATATATATATATATATATATATATATATATATATATATATATATATATATATATATATATATATATATATATATATATATATACACTATATTGCCAAAAGTATTTGCTCACCTGCCTTGACTCACATATGAGCTTAAGTGACATCCCGTTCCTAATCCATAGGGTTCAATATGACGTCGGTCCACCCTTTGCAGCTAGAACAGCTTCAACTCTTCTGGGAAGGCTGTCCACAAGGTTTAGGAGTGTGTTTATGGGAATTTTGGACCATTCTTCCAGAAGCGCATTTGTGAGGTCGCACACTGATGTTGGACGAGAAGGCCTGGCTCTCAGTCTCCGCTCTAATTCATCCCAAAGGTGTTCTATCGGGTTGAGGTCAGGACTCTGTGCAGGCCAGTCAAGTTCATCCACACCAGACTCTGTCATCCATGTCTTTATGGACCTTGCTTTGTGCACTGGTGCACAGTCATGTTGGAAGAGGAAGGGGCCAGCTCCAAACTGTTCCCACAAAGTTGGGAGCATGGAATTGTCCAAAATGTCTTGGTATGCTGAAGCATTCAGAGTTCCTTTCACTGGAACTAAGGGGCCAAGCCCAGCTCCTGAAAAACAACCTCACACCATAATCCCCCCTCCACCAAACTTTACACTTGGCACAATGCAGTCAGACAAGTACCGTTCTCCTGGCAACCGCCAAACCCAGACCCGTCCATCAGATTGCCAGATGGAGAAGCGCGATTCGTCACTCCAGAGAACGCGTCTCCACTGCTCTAGAGTCCAGTGGCGGCGTGCTTTACACCACCGCATCCGACGCTTTGCATTGCACTTGGTGATGTATGGCTTGGATGCAGCTGCTCGACCATGGAAACCCATTCCATGAAGCTCTCTGCGCACTGTTCTTGAGCTAATCTGAAGGCCACATGAAGTTTGGAGGTCTGTAGTGATTGACTCTGCAGAAAGTTGGCGACCTCTTCGCACTATGCGCTTCAGCATCCGCTGACCCCGCTCCGTCAGTTTACGTGGCCTACCACTTCGTGGCTGAGTTGCTGTCGTTCCCAAACACTTCCATTTTCTTATAATACAGCTGACAGTTGACTGTGGAATATTTAGGAGCGAGGAAATTTCACGACTGGATTTGTTGCACAGGTGGCATCCTATCACAGTTCCACGCTGGAATTCACTGAGCTCCTGAGAGCGACCCATTCTTTCACAAATGTTTGTAAAAACAGTCTGCATGCCTAGGTGCTTGAATTTATACACCTGTGGCCATGGAAGTGATTGGAACACCTGATTCCAATAATTTGGATGGGTGAGCAAATACTTTTGGCAATATAGTGTATATATATATATAGTTCGACACAGACTTTCTTGCCTGTGTCGAAGGCTCAGAATTTTTTTTTTTGCTTTAATCCCTGTATCATACTTTCTCGAAGCTTTCAAAGGGAAAAAATGAAAGGCAAGTATCAGTTACTGAGTGTAATCCAGTCGGATATTTGAAATCGGATCAGGACATCCCTACAGTTTAATTTCCCACACATTATCTAGTGTGATCATCAAAGGCTAACTACCAAACATCATGGCTCCAAAGCTGCTTTACTGGCATTTCTGGTTTTTGGTGAGATTTTGGATCTCCACAGGTCCATATGATAACCAGACTGGAATATTAATGGCTATTGTTTGCAAAAGGCAAAGACTGGGAAGGGCCAACTGTGCGGAAACCCATCAATTATTTAGCAGGCAGGCCTGCTTCGCTTAGCGCTAACCTACCTCTGTGCTCTCCTCCAGATGGGATAATGTGAACTCAGTTCTTCTTGGCTGCTCGCTGTACCACATTCTTCTCATCCTGCAGGGTTGTTTGCATCTGTGCTGCAGGGTTTTTGTATGAACTCATGCGGCTTGATTCAGATCCTCGGGCAGGTGTGGTGTTCTGACGCACTAAATGTCTCTGGATATTAATGAGGATGATTCCATTGTGACACAAGAGTCTTCTCTTAGTCATTCAACTTGAAGTAGACTGGAAGAGGTCTGCTGCTGGTTGGATCTATCAAAATTATCATTACTTCTCTTAGGATGTTCTACTTTAGGGAGGAAAGCAGTTTGACTAAGGTGGTGTTTAAAGCTATTGTCATATGAGGAAATAGTAGATGTAAAACCGCGTCTCCTGTAATGAAACCTCTCGTTCTACTATTTGTTCTTCAGGAGAAAATGGTGGATTAGAGAAACCTGTGAATGAAGTTGATGTGAGGATTTATGGTGCATTCATTTGTCCTTCAGTTATATCCAGTTGAAATTGATGGGTTGGAAGTTGGAATTTCAAAATTCAAGGACAAATGCGAGTCATTTCCAAGCAAAAGTAGAGAGTTCAGAGTTTCTGGAACATAAACTTTAATTTGTAGCTTTTAATCTGAACCAAATTGATGTCTTGAAGTCTGAAGCCAGCCTTCATTCTTTGGAGCTTGTGTATTAAAGCTATAGAGGAGGATGTTCTTTTTCTGGGTGGATCATCAAAATAAGTGGTTCTCCTAATTGTCAATCATTCTGGTGATATGTTTACGTAAGGCCGTCCTACGTCCTATTTTCACTTACCGGTGGTGAGTCCGTCATAGTGGAAAATTTGCAAATTTTTTTTTGGAAAGTAAGTTTGTATGAGCGATGCAAACAGCACTTTTGAAACAGAGCGTGCACAAGGAGAAATGGGCTCGTGCACGCTCTCGCACACGTTTAATAAGCGTTAGAGTGGACACTTCAAAAACATTCTGCAAATGAGTAAAAATTTCTTAAAATATGTGTATTTACCCTTAATTTGAATAGGAAAATAAGATTATCTGTCAATGGAATGAGCATTATACCGTTAAAATAAGATGATTAGTTATTATGCACTTGAAAGAAGAGACTGCAGTTGTTTTTTTAAGACTGAATGTAAATTGTCCTATCCCATTGGTAAAATGATTCTTATCTGCTCAATTCAAGAAAAAATGCACATTTTTAAGAAAAATTGACTTGCTTAGATTTACCTTTTTTTGCAGTGCAGAGGGAGCGTCTTTTCAAAAATTCACGAAAATCCTCCACTATACCTTTTTAAATTGTTTTTTTTTAGTTTACAAGCTTTGTGAAAGTTTCCTCAGAGATTAATTACTTAATAAACTAGAGTTGCAATTAGCATTTAAAAATGTTGATTATTTATCTGAATTATTTCTGATGTTCGATTTCTCACGAAAGCTTGACCAGTCTTGTTTGGACCTTCTCCGCTAATTTATAGCACATCATTTACCGGAGCCATTTTAAAGTTTCCCACAGCCACCCTGGGTTTGGAGCCATTCATTCCTGCGGTACAATTAGCAAGCCACAAAACTACATAATGGCGTCCAGAAACACAGGATGCAGCGCAGCATGGCTCTTACATTCCCATAGGCTATCTGCTGCCTTATCTGACAATTTTCATTCATGCCTGTAAGACAATGTCTACCTTTTGATTATATTTTCTAATCAGAATCTTGTGTCAAAGTTTAAATTTATGCCTCTTGTAAAGCTTTAATCAGCCACTGCTTAACAGCTTCTTGAGTTCTGCTGATCTTCTACCATGAGAAGTTATTTACATGAAGAGCAGAGGCTCAGACAAATCCTATACACAAATCATGAAAGTCGTTGGTCATATCGATCAAAAATCCACTCTTCAGATAAAAGTAAAGTTAGAATTTCTGTTTGAAATAATTTAACGTCCCAGAGTCTGGAGGGAGGTGGAAAGGTGCTGAATCCGCGTTGCTTCAAGTCCAAGGTGACGTTTCAGCATTCAGCCATAATGTCGGAGTCAATAAGGAGAAGCCATGTTTAGTTTCTCTGTTTCTATATCTGTGGTAAAAGCTCCTTAAAACTCGAGAAGCTTTAGAAACACAGTCTCGACCCAAATACCTCAGATCAGCAGGAGGGCATCCGTCATCTCCATAGTAATTGCTATCTGAGTTGTGCAGGAGGTTAGGATGGAGCTAGGACCAGGAAGCAGGATACTTCCTATCACCAGTGCAGTTAGCACTGATGTTCCTAGCTGCTGCTAGTTGGTTGTCCACAATCCTTTGCATGACAGACCTTATAGCAACAGCATGTAATGCTCACATATGATAATGTCCTCACCTGTGTATTTTCGGGGTATTTTAATGGAGAGTTTCAGCCGTTCGCAACATTTGTGTAACTTTAGAGTTTTTTAGTTCTTTTAATAAAGGCTGTTAACCTAATTTTGCCAGCTTTATGTGTGTCCCCCGTTTAATAATGTCTTTAAGGCTGAGGGCTGTCTGGATTCAGCACAGCAGCCCCTTTCCTTCCCTGGATAGAATTCTAATTGTTGACTCCATGAAAGGTGAAGGGATATGAGCTATGGCCTACAATCCGAGGTATTCAGATACAGCTACTGTTGAACTCTGTGTGTATCTGTGGTGCTTTTACAGTAATAGCCATCAAACATTTCCCCACTTTCCTAGATGGGCCCTTGACTGGTCTTTGGCTTGTCCGCCTTCAATTCCTTTTTAAACATCAATCTTTGTACTAAAATATTCTTTCTGTCATGATTTATGGACATTAAGATCTAAAGAGAAGCATCATCTCCTAATCAGACCATGTAATCTAGTGATAGGGTGGAGAGTAAAAAAATATGCACATCCAGGAGAAAGCCAGTGTCTGGAAGTTGGAGGGGATTCTGCTGGGAGTTGCAGGAAGTGGGCTGGCTTTTGACTGGGAAGGGCCATTTTGAATGGCTGCTACTGTAATATTGGCTTCCTTTGCCTTCCAAATCAAGAACGTTCCATTAACAGCAGAGGTTGAAGGCTCAAAATTTAGCAGCAAGAGACCTGAGAGTACTCTATTCGTCCTTCCTGTTATCAGCTGAATTTCTTGTTCTCTCTCTATAATCATCTTAAAGATTCATACAAAATTCAGCTTTGAGTCTTCTTCAGCGAGTAAAAAAATGCACGTGTTGGGTTGTTGTCAGTAGGAGGTTTAGCACCTAGAGTACTGCTTTGACCCATGAGTAAAGACCAGACCCATGTGTTTCCACCAGGCCAGGCAGCGATCTTTGCTGACCAAGCTAAAAGCCAACCAGTCGCCGTTTGATCTCTCTCCCCTCATCATATGTCCTTTGTATGTTTCTGTGATGTGTGCCAGATAATCACTCCTAGATAAAGTGCTTATTTATCCTTATGTGCAGCTTATAATTTCAAATTATCTGCTTAGAATTCCTCCAAATAAAGCTTATTCCGTATGAAAAACAACATTCATAAGCTTCTATACCGGTTTCCTGTAATTGACCACACCTTAGTTAACAAGACTTTTAAAACCAGATGAAAGCTTTCTTTCTCATGCAATGGCATTTATAATAGACTGCCTGGCAGTACAAAGGAGCAAAATTTGAGTCATGCTTCCTTGAAGCCAATTACCAGTTTGACCTGATTTCCTGTTCTTTAAAACCACCACAGAGGATGGAGTCAGGATGACAGCAGATGTACAGCATCTCCTGCTCTACATGTTTCTTTCTGATGATGACTCTTAAGGACCTCACATTAAACCAGCTCCAGCTTTTTTTTCCCTTAATGTTCAACTGTAAAACAGAGCTTTAATACCCAGAAGACCAGAATGAAAAACAACCCAAACAGAGTAGTATAAGGGCCTCATCTCTACCATTGTAGTCACATTAGACAGCCCACTCAGCAGTCTAATGTGTAATAAAATAAGAGCCAAGATGACGAATGCATGAAAACGTGAGGCAGTTAGACTGAGTGGGCCTTAGAGGATATGATTGAAATGAGTTTTTTTTTTTTTTTTTTTTTTTTTTGCTGAAAGGCTGTGAAAAGTTTAGATTGCAGCTCTAGCTCAAGCTCTCACAGCAAAACCAATGGTGAGACACTTTTCTGTTTACTGTTGAGTAAGGGAGTGAAGAACGGGATGTGCTTTTAAACAGGTTTGGCTTTTGTTGTTTGTTTGTTGTTTTTTTTAGTCTTTGTGAATTTTTTTTTCCAGCAGAGGGAGTGCCGCAGGTGTTTTACTTCGGGCCCTGTGGGAAGTATAACGCCATGGTTATGGAGCTGCTGGGGCCGAGTCTAGAAGACCTCTTTGACCTTTGTGACAGGACTTTTTCACTGAAGACTGTCTTGATGATCGCCCTTCAGCTGGTGGGTAGCAATGATGGGGAGAATAGGGATTTCTTTCTTCTTCTTTTTTGGAGAGGTGCATTTCCTTAAGATTATTCATCTCCTTTCTTCCCACCAGATTTCTCGAATGGAGTACGTGCATTCTAAAAACCTCATCTACAGAGACGTCAAGCCTGAGAACTTTCTAATCGGAAGGCAAGGGAACAAAAAGGAGCACATCATCCACATCATCGACTTCGGCCTGGCCAAAGAGTACATCGACCCTGAGACCAAAAAACACATTCCATACCGCGAGCATAAGAGCCTGACCGGTACTGCCAGATACATGTCCATCAATACGCACTTAGGCAAAGGTAAGATGACTTCCAAGGGGTTCCTGGAGATGTATACGGTGCCTTGCAAAAGTTCTCATACCTCTTAAACTTGTTCCCATTTTGTCTTGTTAAAAGCACAAAATTCAATGGATTTTATTGGACTTACTTTTAGGGTAAAGCAAAGTATTTTATGATAAGAGAAAGGAAAATGTTTTTCAATTCAAAATACTTTATTAATCCCAAATGGTTCATATTCGGGGTTATAGCTGGAAGGATCTTCTGTAGCGGTCTTTCTTGCAGCGGAACACCTCACCAGGGAGACTTCCAGGATGCATGCTAATCAGATGCACGAGTCAACTTAACTGGCTCCTCTCGATGTGGAGGAGCAGCAGCTCTACTCTGAGTCCTCCCTGCCTGACTGAGTTCCTCACCCTATCTCTAAGGGAGAGCCCAGACACATTTTGGCCGCCCGTATCCAGGATCTCGTTCTTTCGGTCATGACCCAAAGCTCATGACCATAGATGAGTAGGAATGTCAGTCTGTAAATCGAGAGCTTTGCTTTTTGGCTCAGCTCTCTCTTTGCCATAACAGACCAGTACAGTGCACGCTTCACAGCAGATGCCGCACCAATTCGCCTGTCAATCTCCTGCTCCATCTTCCCCTGATTAATGAACAAGACCCCAAGATACTTAAACTCCTCCACTAGGGGCAGTACATCCTCCCCTACCCGGAGAAGGCACTCTACCCTTTTCCGGCTCAAGACCATGGACTCGGATTTGGAGGCACCGATCCTCATCCCGGCCGCTTCACACTCGGCTGCGATCAGCTCCAGTGAGGGCTGTAGATCATGCCCTGATGAAGCCAATAGAAGCACATCATCTGCGAATAACAGAGACATCATACTAAGGCCACCAAAACGGATCCCCTCAACACCTTGGCTGCGCCTCGAAGAGACACGGTTTAGTGCCTACTCCAGATCCACAAAACACATGTAGACTGGTTGGGCAAACTCCCATGCACCCTCCAGAATCCTGCTGAGGGCGTAGAGCTGATCCAGTGTTCCACGGCCAGGACGAAAACCACACTGCTCCACCTGAATCCGAGATTTGACTATCCGACGGACCCTCCTTTCCAGAACCCCGCATTAGACCTTACCTTCCAATATTTATATTTAAAATAACTATCAGATATTTATTAATTGGTAAATAAAGTCCAGCTGTGTGCCTTTCAGTATAAACAGCCGATCAGTGAAGCACTCAGAGGTTGGTTGGGAAAAATAGGAATAAAAATAACTTGTATATTATTTTTCCTTCTACTTTCCTATTCTAGACTGTTTTGGTTGCCCTTGTATATACAATCCTGATAAAACACATTGAAGTTTGATATTTTAACCTGACAAAATGGAAAAAGGTTCAATGAGTTCTTTCCTAAGCTTTCTACGTCAATATCGTTTATATCATTAATAAAATATAACGAAACAAATGTGAGAATTAAAAATAAAATCTGTTTATCCAGAGCAAAGCCGACGAGATGACCTGGAGGCTTTAGGGCACATGTTCATGTATTTTCTGCGTGGGAGTTTACCTTGGCAAGGACTAAAGGTATGACGAGTACAAGGCCAGGTCTCTGAATCTGAGTTTCATAAGAAAACATTCACCAGTAGAGAATAATATCACAGTAAAACTCAATGTTTTTTTTTCTTTCTTTTCAAACTTTCAATGTTTATTAAATCCTTCTTCACCTAAACATACAGTGAAACCGATGTTGTCAATATGGGTATTGTACACATTTCCAGTTATACATCCCCTCCTGATCCTCCTGTACACCCCCACCCCAGAAGCTAAAGGAAGGAAATACAGTATAAAAAAAAAAGATTGTAAATAGAAAGTTCATACGCACTGCATCTTTTATTCTGTACCAATATTGCTTGAGCCTTACCTCTCTGGTTTTAAGAGCTGTTCCCACGTACTCTGATACGCCTCAATCTGACCATATCTATTGTGGATGACTTGTTCATAAGATGCAGTGTCTGAAAATGCTACATACCGACAGGTATAGGTAGGGATATTTTGTCCTTTCCAGTGTCTTAATAAAACTCGCTTTGCCGTGCAAACATTTCATTTTTTAGCTTAAAATGATAAATCATTATTTAAATAAAAAAAAGACATCAGCAAAGTCTTTACTTACCGTATTTTCACGACCATAAGGCGCACCGTACTAAAAGGCGCAGTCTCAGTTATGTGTCCCATTTCTATATTTAACACACACATAAGGCGCACCGGACTATAGGGCGCATTTTTTATATACAGGTACATGTCCTCTACTACCTTTAAATAGCTCTACTGCGTATTTTAAAAATACAGCGGGCCCAAAACTGAGTATGACTGTGCTTTATTCATGTATTTATTACAAAGTATTAATCAAACCTGCGAGCTGGCCATGAGACAGACACATCGCAGATGACACAGCGCTGTGATCACTCCTAAATTACCTTAAAATCCTGAAACCTGCCGACGGAATATGTTCGCTTTTATTGCCGGTATCCTGGTGCCTGCACTGTAAATTATTTAGATGAAAAACACCTGCCAGCCGCCGCGGTGAGGCTGCTGTTGAAGGGATTTCTGCTGTCGGTGCACCGCTGGTATGTGGGGGTCTGAGCGCCTCCGACAGAAATAGATAATCTGGATGAACTGACTGCAATTAAGTTTTCAGGTGGACTTTCTCACTTAAAAACATATTAAAACTACTTTATTCCCCCTGATCACAGCAAATATAGCTGCAAGATTTAGATTATTTAGATGAAAAAACACCTGCCAGCCGCCGCGGTGAAGAGGAGGAGACCCGCCCAGAGGCTGCTGTTGAATAAAGTTTTCAGGTAGAAAAATAGAGCGGGAGCAAAACTGAGTATGATTGTGCTTTATTCATGTATTTATTACAAAGTATTAATCAAACCCATCAAAGTCATCCTCCTCTGTTTCTGAATTAAACAGCTGCGCTAAATCAGACATGCCAGTTTCCCCTTCTTCGCTGTCAGTCACTTTCCGTGCAGCGCGGCTCCTCAGAAATAATGCCGGCTTTTGTGAAAGCTTGAACAACAGAGCCAGCAGACACGTTAGTCCAAGCATCAACAATCCATCCGCAAACGGTGGCGTAACTTGCCCGGCGCTGCCTTCCACTTATCCTGAAACTGTGGTCTCCGTCTGTCATCCACCGCTCCCACGCCGCTCGCAGCCTTACTTTGAACGGCCGCTTCACACCGATGTCGAACGGTTGAAGTTCCTTTGTCAGACCCCCGGGATAACGGCGAGCACAGCGTTCATTTGATTCACCTTTTTTTCACATCGGCTGTGAGATGGGCACGCAGCGATGGTGATGCGTGGAAAAAAGCACCTGGTCTCCTCACATACACCTGCCTTTCATCATATTCTCATCCATCCAGCCTTTTTCATTTGCGTTAATATCATGTCATCAGAGCGCTGTGTCTGTCTCGCTGTCAGCTCCCAGATCAGCTTCTCTGATTGGTTGATGCGGCGCGTCCAGCAGCAAAACTTCAATTTTTCCATCTCGAGCAGCAGCAGCGCGTTGGCGGTGCGTCAGATGCTTAAACGCTCCCGACGTGCTGCACCTGCAGCTCAAAACGCGCTGCGGGACCTTTTGCTGCGCCTATACGCGCGTCAACCATTGACTTTGCATGTAAACTCGCTGCTTCTGCTGCACCTGCTGGGTCCGGTTCACACCGATGTCCAGCGGTTGAACAGCGAGCACAGCCTTAATTTGTTTCCCCATGTTTTTCACATCAGCTGTGAGATGGGCACGCATGGAGTTGCATATTAACAGCGATGGTGATGAGTGGGAAAAAAAACACCTGGTCTCCTTACATTCAGCCACTCTTTCATCATCTCCTCAATGAGGTGGTCTCAAAAGTCGCAGTTACAACACACATAAGGCGCACCGCACCATAGGGCGCACCGCACATTTTGAGGGGAAAAAAAAGACGTTTAAGTGCGCCTTATAGTCGTGAAAATACGGTAATAGAATAATGTAAACCATTGGACAAAAGAACAAACCTGTAACAGAATGTGTCAAGAATTCAACATTTGTTAAATGGGAACAGGTCTGACCAGGACCTGTTGTTTTATCTTTTAAAGACCCCAGCTTATATAATATGTCATTCTCCTCTCACAAAGAGATTTTACAACAATGTTGTTTTAGTGATATAAAATCTATTTGTTGGGTTTTTAACCCTGATAGAGTAATTCCGCTACTCCCTTAAGTCACTGGCATCAACGGGCTGATTAAAAAATAAATAAATGAATTGCTGGAACCTTTTATGTTTCCTCGGATGGAAAATTTTCTAACAATCCTTAAAGCACCTTGAAATAAGTGTTGTTCATCAGCTAAATACTACATGTTTACATTTCATAGAATACGATCCAATAATTCTTGTTAAATTTTCTTATTGGATGCGTCCTGTAACATATCTCTTGTTTTTCAGGCCGACACACTGAAGGAAAGATACCAGAAGATTGGAGATACAAAACGAAACACTCCCATTGAGGTCCTCTGTGAGAACTTCCCAGGTATGAGTGAGGAGATTCACTCTGATCATCTCACATATGGACTTTTTTTCACTAATCACCAGGTTTTATAAAGCTTTGACCTGCTAATATAGGTTTAATTGAAGATGTTTATTATAGCTATATTTATAAACAAAAACATTCTACCTAACCTTTCCGCCATGAGTAATCATCAGTTTGTTTGTGAGAGAGCAAACGCCATCAGTAGGTGTTTGTCAACCAAGCATTTCATCTTTTATCTCCATCTTAGAAAGTTGATCCTTACCCCTTAGCTTTAACATTTCCAGGCGATTCCAAAGTTTTATTTTATGCATTGTTGCATTATCCACATCATAGTGTATCCATCTTTTTTTTCCAGAGGAAATGGCCACCTATTTGCGTTATGTGAGGCGGTTAGACTTCTTTGAAAAGCCTGACTACGAATATCTGAGGACTCTGTTTACTGAGCTGTTTGAGAGGAAAGGATACACATTTGACTACACTTACGACTGGGTCGGGAGGCAGATAGTAAGTGACATTTTGTGGTAAAGTTTTTTTCTTTGTAATCAATCAGATGTTTGATTTAATTCTCCTTTCCATCAGCCCACACTAGTGGGATCGGGCCATGTAGAATCCGGTGCATCTGCAGTCACAAGAGAGAGCCATCCTCACAGAGACCGACCCTCACAGCACGCTCCAGTCCGAAATCAGGTATGTTGTGGTTTGGATTCAGCGCAGGGAGAGAACGAGTCCGTTCTAATAAGAACAAAGGAAGCTGTTAAGCAACTTAAAGAGATTTCCACCCAAAGCTGTCCTGGTTTGCTCTCATAAATAATCTATTATAAATTACGTTTTTGGAAAATCAATGTTAAATTGAAAAAATCTGAAGAAAGACATGTGATTGACTTTACACTCACATTTCAACCTTCCATCATGCTATAAATATGACCCTCAGTTTGATGAATAACATTAATTTAGTAAACCATGTGTGGTTGGAGCTGCATTAGATGAAAGTAAAAAAAAAATAAGTTTTCAAATATTCATACATTTTTCATACAGTCTCATAGTTACCAGCCTTTGGTGAATTTGTTTCTGTTTTTTATGGTATTTTAATAATAAAAACACATCTGATATTTTGATTTCCACAAAATGATTGAAGCAAGTGTGGAAGTTCCAAAAAAGTTAAACAACAACAATCCACTGTCTTGGATAAAACCTTCCTCAATGCAGTGAGGAATGCTCTGATTTTTACAGGTCCTTCTCAGAATATTAGCATATTGTGATAAAGTTCATTATTTTCCATAATGTAATGATAAAACTAGAACATAGTGTGCAATGAATCTAAAATATATGAACAAGTTTTATCATTATTATTATGGGAAATAATGAACTTTATCATAATATGCTAATATTTTGAGAAGGCCCTGTATATTGGAGAAACCAAACAACCTCTGCATAGAAGCATGGCCCAACACAGAAGAGCGACCTCCCCTGGACAAGACTCTGGGGTACAGCTACACCAGAGGTGAGCAGCTCCACTCCTTCAAGGCCGGTTTCCTGCAACATTTAGATTCATCCTTGGTCCAACACACCTGAACCAAAAGGTTGAATTACCTCCCCAGTATGCAATCAATTTCTCCAGAGTCCTTTTAATTATCTATTTACTTGATTCGGGTGTGTTAAGTCAAGGACATATCTAAAAGTTCCAGGATGCAGGCCCTCCAGGACTGGAGTTGCCCACTCCTGATCTACACCTTATACACAGAGGACATTCTTTTGAGGAACAGAATATTTATATTTTGGACAAAGAAGATGGGTGGTTTGAGGGAAGCCATCCATGTTAAGAAAGAAAAAACAACTTTAAACAGAGGGAGTGGACTCATTTCAGCTTTCAAAAATCTAAAATGCAGCGATAGAGTTGATTCCTTCCCGCTATCATCGCAACCCCAGCCTCTGTACAGGGGAACAAAAGACCTCTCCTGTTCAGCCAGGCCAACAGAGATAGACGGGTATGGGGCATTGAAGGCTGACAAAAGAAGCCAAATGACATCCATTTCAAAGGGGTGGAGCCGTTTGTCTGTTTCAATTTGCATGTTTTCTGAGCAAAAACAAAGCTTTGTTGACCTACTCTATAAAGCCTTGAACTCAGCGCTATCTCTGACATTTTGAACTGAAAAAGCTTCCTGGGTGGGAAGCAAAACATCTTCAAACCTGGAAACGTCCAGTGGATTTTTTCTTTTTTTTTTTTTCTTTTTTGGAATGACCATGACCTGGATGACTGAGAATCTTCACCTGCAAGTGTGGAAATGATAACTCAGCTGCTTCTCTGTGTTTAGTTTGATGAGGCAGCAGGAAATAAGATGGATTTTTTTTCTCTGCAGTGTTTTTCCTCACAGAAAAAGATCATCAAAGCGAGTTTAAGTTGTGATGCTTTAGCCAGATGGCGAATCGGACTAACATCGATCACAGTTTCCACTGATGGGAATTAAAATGCCTAGATGTGAATAAAGGGAGGGGTGGAGATAATAATTGCACTGATAGGTTGTTTAACGAATTATTAACTCATAGGCGGTAAATCCAAATGTATGCATCACGTCTCCAATTTTAGAAGCTGTAAAACAAAAAATGAATAGGTTTTAGTTAGAGATCTGATACTTGGATCCGATATCAGTGATTTTGGATCTCAGAGATCCAATCCAGTGCACTTCACATGGAACTGTTATTTCTTACTTTTTGATTCTTATTTGTTAATAAAGTATATTTACATCCGTGTTAATTTCTTATCTTTTTTATTTTTATTTAGGCTAAAGCCTTCACTCACAGGTTAAGCTATATGGTTCATTTATTCAACAGTTGAATCCGATCAGTATCGGATATCGGCAAATGTGCTTAACCAAGTTCTAGGGATTGATTGGAAAAACTGATCAAGTTATCTCTCAGTTGCATTGGTCTATCAGTTCCATTTATATTTGTGGATTATATCCCCTTAAACGGGACTCTCACAGGTGTATAATTTCTTAACTTCTCTGCTGTAGGGTAAAAAATTTTGTATCTTAGGCAGGAAGTTTTAAAAGTTTTTTTTTAGCAACATGTTGGTTAATTTCAGTATTTAGCATTGTAAGCATGACTTGGACATTTAAGCTGGAAGAGCTTCAGTTTAATTTTTTGGTGCTTTCGGGGCTCAGCAGTTTCTGTTTGAGCTCTTTGGCATTGCTTTGGTTTTTGTTTTTTTAAATTCATGCTTATTTTACTGTTTTGTTTTCTTCATCTCTCATGCTGCTGTTGCATGGTACCTCGCTCCACACACCAAATGCCATTTTTCTAATGCAATTATTCCATCACCTTCACTCCTCCTTCCCTCTCCCATCGCACTCCCCTTCCCAACCTCACTTTCCTTCACATCCCCATCGCTACCCCTCCGACTCCCGAGCAGACGGCAGTTTCAGACCGACGAGGAGCATGGGAGGTTCAGCCCACTCGGCAAGCAAACTCTTCCTATATCACCTCTCACCTGGCAGCGGACAGGCACGGTGGCTCAGTCCAGGTACACACCCCTTACCTGCTCAGCCAACACCCTCTTCCCCCAGTCTCCATTCAGTCAGATCTGTCTCATAGATCCACTCCAAGATACAGCAACACAAGGCCTGCTCTTGAAAAGGACCTCAATGAGGCAAATTTTCATTCTGATCGGTTTAGTAAGTCGTGACTGTCGTAGGTTAGCGTTGTATGTGAGACAGATCGACAGGCTTTAACTCTCCACCTCCAGTTTCTGTACCCCTGGCTGGGAAATGTTATTTTCTGCTCCACCGTATGCATGTAATCCGGTGCCACCCACCCCACATTCTCAACGTGTGATTTTTGGCATCTGGAAGCTGTTTCACGTTTTGATCCCTGGTTCCTGCACTTCATGCCTCTCAGACACTTCTTTTAACAAAATGCGCGCACCTATTGCATGGCAGGATGATCTGACTCTGCTAAGGAAGTGCATGTTTGTAAAGCAGAGATGGTTTGTTGGGCTTAAAGGGGTATTCTGATGCAATAAGGCCGTCATTTCCAAGGGAGCACATTTCAGAATCAGAATCGGGTTTATTGCCATTGTTAGTGAAGAGGTTCACAACTAGGAAATTTCTGTGGTACAGTCGTGCAACATGAAACATATATGAAATAGTAAATAAAATTATAAAAATCTCTAAAAACACTAGGGTATAAGGCATGCAAAAAATATACTAATATATACACTTAAGATAAAAATATGGATAAATATAAAAAGTAAAATGTACAAGATAGTGCAAATAGAGCAGTGTGCAATACAGCAGTGTGAATGGCATGGGCAGGTTATGGAGTCTGACATATAGTTATGTGTTCATGAGTCTTATGGCAGAGGGGAAGAAGCTGTTTTTATGGCGGGAGGTTCTGGTCCGTATGGACCGTAGCCTCCTCCCTGAGGGGAGAGGTTCAAACAGTCTGTGTCCAGTGTGAGAAGGGTCGGCTGTGATGCGACCTGCACGTCTCCTGGTCCTGGAGACATACAGGTCCTGGAGTGATGGCAGCTTACAGCCGATCACCTTCTCAGCGGAGCGCACAATGCGCTGCAGTTGGTATCTGTCCCTGGCGGTGGCGCCAGTGTACCACACGGTGATGGAGGAGGTGAGGATGGACTCAATGATGGAGGTGTAAAACTGCACCAACATCCGGGTTGGCAGCTTAAGTTTCCTCAGCTGCCGCAGAAAGAACATCCTCTGCTGGGCCTTCTTGACGAGGGAGCTGATGGTCGGCTCCCACTTGAGGTCCTGGGTGATGGTGGTGCCCAGGAAGCGGAAGGACTCCACGTTGGAGATGGGGGTGGGGCTGTCTGTGAGGGCAAGGGGGGACGGTGGGGCTGTGACCTTTCTAAAGTCAAACTAACAAAAACAGACAAAACAGGGCGCACGAGAGGACCAGGGCGACCGTAGGTGGCGCCATCTTGGCGGAAAAAATGGTTTCATGTATGTTTCATGGTAACTTATGAGTTGTGAACAAATTGGCGACAAGTCTTCCAATCCAACTGACAGAATTTAACGCTAACTAATGAAAGGTTGATTTATTACTGAATATTATAAACAATGCATTCCTGCATACAGTGGGGCAAAAAAGTATTTAGTCAGCAACCAATAGTGCAAGTTCTCCCACTTAAAAAGATGAGAGAGGCCGGTAATTATCATCATAGATATACCTCAACTATGAGAGACAAAATGAGAAAAATCCAGAAAATCACATTGTCTGATTTTTAAAGAATTTATTTGCAAAATATGGTGGAAAATAAGTATTTGGTCAATAACAAAAGTTCATCTCAATACTTTGTTATATACCCTTTGTTGGCAATGACAGAGATCAAATGTTTTCTGTAAGTCTTCGCAAGGTTTTCACACACTGTTGCTGGTATTTTGGCCCATTCCTCCATGCAGATCTCCTCTAGAGCAGTGATGTTCTGGGGCTGTCGCTGGGCAACATGGACTTTCAACTCCCTCCAAAGATTTTCTATGGGGTTGAGATCTGGAGACTGGCTAGGCAACTCCAGGACCTTGAAATGCTTCTTACGAAGCCACTCCTTCGTTACCCGGGCGGTGTTTTTGGGATCATTGTCATGCTGAAAGACCCAGCCACGTTTCATCTTCAATGCCCTTGCTGACGGAAGGAGGTTTTCACTCAAAATTTGACAATACATGGCCCCATTCATTCTTTCCTTCACACGGATCAGTCGTACTGGTCCCTTAGCAGAAAAACAGCCCCAAAGCATGATGTTTCCACCCCCATGCTTCACTGTAGGTATGGTGTTCTTTGGATGCAACTCAGCATTCTCTCTCCTCCAAACACGACGAGTAGAGTTTTTACCAAAAAGTTCTATTTTGGTTACATCTGACCATATGATATTCTCCCAGTCATCGTCTGGATCATCCAAATGCTCTCTAGCAAACTTGAGACGGGCCTTGACATGTACTGGCTTAAGCAGGGGGACACATCTGGCACTGCAGGATTTGAGTCCCTGGCGGCGTAGTGTGTTACTGATGGTAGCCTTTGTTACTTTGGTCCCAGCTCTCTGCAGGTCATTCACTAGGTCCCCCCGTGTGGTTCTGGGATTTTTACTCACCGTTCTTGTGATCATTTTGACCCCACGGGGTGAGATCTTGCGTGGAGCCCCAGATCGAGGAAGATTATCAGTGGTCTTGTATGTTTTCCATTTTCTAATAATTGATCCCACAGTTGATTTCTTCACACCAAGCTGTTTACCTATTGCAGATTCAGACTTCCCAGCCTGGTGCAGGTCTATAATTTTTTTTCGGGTGTCCTTTGACAGCTCTCTAGTTTTGGCCATGGTGAAGTTTAGAGTGTGACTGTGTGAGGTTGTGGACAGGTGTCTTTTATACTGATAACGGGTTCAAACAGGTGCCATTAATGAAGGTAACGAGTGTAGGACAGAGGAACCTCTTACAGAAGAAGTTACAGGTCTGTGAGAGCCAGGAATCTTGCTTCTTTGTAACTGACCAAATACTTATTTTCCACCATATTTTGCAAATAAATTCTTTAAAAATCAGACAATGTGATTTTCTGGATTTTTCTTTCTCATTTTGTCTCTCATAGTTGAGGTATATCTATGATGAAAATTACCAGCCTCTCTCATCTTTTTGAGTGGGAGAACTTGCACTATTGGTGGCTGACTAAATACTTTTTTGCCCCACTGTAAATATATGCATCCATAAAATCAATTAGAGCTTCAAGATTGGATTAAAACCTTGACTGTTTTTGCCACATTAATTACTTAAATAGGATTAAACTTCAGGAGATAAAGTTTTTTTTATAATATTTATTTCAGCTTCATTTGGTAATATATCTTGAAAGCAATGAAATAAAAGTGGAGGCAATTTCTAAAATTTATATTTTATTTAATAAACTCAAATTACTACCTGATTGTAGTATATTTATATTTATTGCAAACTATGATCTATACTTAAAATGTTTTTTTCTGTAAATTTAACTATTTCTTACAGCTAATAAATATTTAAACTGGATAAAAAGTAACAGATTTATATATGCAAGTGTTGGTCAGCAAAGACTTCTGTAGCACTTTTGCTTGTTAAGCTTTTACCGAAATGTTTTCCTTCCACCCAACTTTCCTTTATTGTTTGGCTACGACACCTTTTTTTCCTGTTATCCTAGTAGGGCCCACTCCAAGCAGCATAAGCTACTAAAAGGCACCCAGCTCTCTATGCGTAGCGCCTTATTAGAAAGTTGAGTGGAAGGAAAAACATCCGTAAATGTTGTAAGATAATTGTAGTTTCTGAAAGTTACTTCACAAACTTTTTGAACGTTTATTAGTTTGATACTCGAGAAAAACAAGAAAAATCTATTTCTGTCTTCCTGCTTTTTTACTTGTAACTTTGAAAGGTTCAGTTGATACCTTGGTGCCTTAGAAATAGGTTTTGTGACCTCTGAGGGCTCTCTGAATTAGCGATGACCTGGTGTTTTTTTTTTCTTTTTTTTTTGACATCATTATCAGGTAAAACTGCTTCGAATTATTCAGAGGGTTAACTTAAAGTAACGTTTGTCTCTGCTGCAGGTGGTCAGTTCTCGCAATGGGGAGCTTAATGCAGACGATCCTCTGGCTCACTCCAATGCGCCAATAACAACTCAGGCAGAGGTGGAAGTGGCCGACGAGCCTAAGTATGATTCTCTTTCATGTCCTTTTGGTGCTTCTCCTTCCACCGTTCTTTAGTTCTGTGTCTCCTTAAGTATGGGAATGAATTAGCCCAGACGCTTGGCTTTATTCAAACTCTAGTTTCTCTGTCAAATATTTGCCACTTGATTCAAATCCCCTTACATGGTTTCTTTTACTGCATATCCTGTTCCGATTTCTGCATAGTTTTAGGGTCTTCCTTCGAAGTCTGACCTGCAATTTTGTTTTAAGCCAATTTAGATATTTTTCTCCCATGTTGCTCAAGTAAAATAATTGAAAAAAATTCATCATCTCTGTAATGTGCTTTATGGATTTATACATTTCTCTCATTTCTTAATCTTAAATTCTGTCTCTCTTTTCCTTTTTTTAAAATTCATCTAGCATATTTTTATCCTGCTTTTGTCAAGTTTTGCTCTTTTTTTTTTTTCTTCCTCCATCGTAAGACGTATGCGTTGTTTGCAGCATAGGCTATGTTACACTGCAGGCCTTGATGCTCAATTCTGATTTTTTTGTGAAATCCATTTTTTTTTTTTTGCGTTGCTGTTGAAATTTACAAATATATGCAACTTGTATGTGATCTCCTGTGTGAACTGCATTCATACAGCTTAAGTGTCCCGCATGTGCAGGAGAAGACGCAATGATGTAACTAGCAAGCATGCTCTGTGTTTACAGAAGTAAACATGGATGGTAGTGCCGGAGCGCATCTAGCGATTTTTTTCCATCCTTAAAAACACAATCTATTCAAGATGGTTAAACATAAATACTATTCTCCGCATTATCATCCACCATGTTTGTTGTTTTTCTGGCTGCTTCTGCGTAGCAAGGCCCATATTAGGGAGCTTTGTTTTGTATTAATGACATTCAGGTCAGATGAATGCGATCTGGCCGTTCTGATACAGGTCACTTTTGAAAAGATCAGATTCGTATCGGATTCGGGATCACATAGCAAAGTGGCCTTGGTCGCATTGGAAAAATCGGATCTGTGTTGTTCAGACTGTCATGGAAAGATCCGATACAGGTCCCATAAGGGCAAAAAAAATCAGATTTGGGTCACTTCAGGCAGCAGTGTGAACGTAGCTATAATAAAACTTTTTTTTTTTTTTTACCAAGGTCAAAACTGTTTGTGTTTGGATTCCTTGGAAACCTTTCACTTTATAAAAGTTTACTGGATCACAAAAATTATGACAAATTCTAAGCACACCAAAAAAAAAAATGACATTCTGAATTAAAGGCCTATCCTGAAATTAAAAGCCGGTTGGATCTCTTGAGATTAATATAATTCTATCCAAACACCTGCTGTCATCTAGCTTTGCTGACTAAACTTCTAATCTGGCACTGTTTGTTTTATTTTTATTTTTATGGGTGGCTCCTGCTCCGCCTTCTTGCTTCTCGTCCTCCTCTCCTTCCATCACTTTCATCCTATTTTTCAAACCCCATCTGTCTGTTCTTCCTCCTCACTCCTAAAACTGGCAGCATCCTGCCGTCCTGCATCAGCTCCATGTGACCATGACTGAAAAGTCCTTCTGCACCTAACAAATGTAAAAATAATTAACATTCTAGAATTTGCAGTTTTCCAACACAAATCTACATAGAGTAATGCTACTCCACAACCAGAGAGGGGCCGTTCAGTTCTTTTTTTTTTTTTTTTTTTTTTTTTTTTTTTTTTTTTTTTTTTTTTTTTTTTTTTACAGTGTCCTGTCTGGCAAGGTGGCAATAAGAATAATTGTCTTGATGCCAAAAGGAGCCCAACAGATTTTACTTTCACAAGTGTAGCGGTATCGCAATTGCCATACCGCTCCACTTGTTTCATGTATATAAATTGCTTTATTATAATTATGCAGGGAGTTTTACAGTTCATATGGACACTGCAATGTAAGTAGAGCAGAAAAACAGAAGAAGAAGAAGGAAAAAGAAAAAGAAAAAAACAGGACAAAAGATGAAAGAAAGAGGAGATAGGAAGGAGACAATGACAAAACATTTTCAGTCTGCTTCAACACCTGTAATGAGATGGAGAAAAAAAAAAAAAAAAAAAAAAAAAAAGAACAGCACAACCAAAAAACATGGTACGAGATATACAATAAAGCAAACACCTTGAAACTATCACTAAAGTAATATTATTAAGTCTGACATGTACTCTGTGTTACCTGAAGATATGAATGTGGGGTTTCTGTTTGGAAGTGAATCTCTAAGTACCTGAAGCCTAGCACCTGTAGTTGTTTGTGAGGGTGAACTTGTGCATGTAAAGTTTTAACCATAGAAAAAAATGCTCAATAGTGGTTGTGGAGAGCCGGAGAGGCACACCCCCCAGAGCACTGAGTCCAGCGCCGGGAGACCCAAAGCCCCAGGCGCCCAAGGGGACCCCAGAAGCGAAGGCACCAAGGCGGGGCCAGCCCCGGAAATCAGACCCCACCAAGGCAGGAGGAGAGACAGCCACGAGGAAGCCCCCCAGCCACCGCCATGCCGGCGCCCCGGGGAGCCGCGGGGACGAGTCCGCGGGCCCCGCCGGCAGCCGGCCACCCCGAAGTAGGGCCGGGCGCCGAACACCAGCCCCCCCACGGCGCCGACCGAAACGCCCCAGCCCCACAGAGCACCGAAACACGCCCCGCCCCCCAGCACCAAGCCCCGGCGACCGGCCGCAACACCCACCGCGACCGCACCACCCAGGAAAACACTAAGACGGCCCCGCCCCCGGCCGGGGCCCACGCGCATCCGCCGCGAACCGGCCACGAGCGCCGCGGGACCCCCCCCAAAACGCCCCCCCGGCCAAAAGCGCAGCCCCACCCCACCAAGACCGATGCCAACAGCGCGCAACGAAACACACCGCGCACAGAATCAGCCCGAGAGCAGAAAAGCCGCCCGGCGCAAAACCGCAAGAGGAGCAGACCGCAGCCGGCGCAACCACCCCCCCCAGCAGCCCGAGGGGCAGCACAAAGCCAGAGCGGAGCGAACCGCGCCGCCCCCCCCACCGGACGATGCCAAAGCAGCCCAGCCACGTCCGCCACCCCCCCCGCAGCCCGCACCAGGCCCCGACACGCGGCCAGAGCAGCTCCGCCGCCCCGGCCCCCCACCACGCGCCGGTCATAGCCACCCCAGGCCCACACCCGCCCCGCAGCCCCACCCGCCGCGATCAGTGGGAACAGAGCAGCCCCGCCATGCCTCCAGGAGGGAAAACCCACCCGAATACCCAGCCAGCGCAGCCAGCCCGCCCAGACCGGCCCCCCAACACTACCCCCGCCGGAGCCGCCCGGACCCCCACACACCAGCGGCGCGCCGCCAGCAGGACCCCCACCCAGCAGGCCCGCCTGCCCCCGAGAAAACAGACATGCCAAACCCCCCAAAGAAAAAAAGAGAAAAAAAAAAAAAAAAAAAAAAGGGGCCCCCACAATGCGACAGCGGACACCAGACACCGACCCGCCCGCAACCGCTCCCCCCCACCGAGGAAGAGAAAAAAAAAAAAATAAATAAATAAATAAATAAATAGGTAAATAAATAAATTAATTAATAATTACAATTAAAATAAATAGGCAAGAGGAGAAGTGCGAGCGGAAAAACCGGAGCCCAAAACAGGACCCAAGACCCGCACCCCACCATGCCGCGCAGCTCCCCCCCTCCCCGAACCGATACCACAGAACCGGCATAGGAAAGAAACACCGCCCAGGAACCGGCATCGTAGCGAAGGCACCGGCACCGACCCCGAAAATCCCCGAACAACACCCAGCCCCACCCCGAAGCGGATCCAGTCCCAGGCCCCAGGGATCCGAGGCCCCAAGGGCACCCCACCCCCAGACAGGAGCCCCAGCAAAGCCAAGGCCGGCCGGGGCCAGTGGAGAGGCCGCCAGGAATGAGCCAGCAGTCCCCCGGGCATCCACCCCCAGCTCCACCAGTGCACCGGTGAGCCCCGACGCCAGCCAGCGGAGGGAGAGCAGGACGGGGGGAATGGGCTCCGCACTTAGCGGAGACTTGAGATGTATTTGGGAGAGGGTGCGGTTGAGACCCCAACCTGGGAAAGAAAAAAAAAAAAAACACACCATCTCAATCATGCCTTCCCTCCCTAGTGCCCCCACTCGTACCACAGGAAAAAAAAAAAAAAAAAAAAAAAAAAAAAAAAATTTGAATAAAATAATAATAATAATAAATAAAGAAAATAACAACGCAGACACACATTCACACATAACACTCACATCCAATAATACCAGGACCAAAAACCCGGTGACACCGGTGGTCGGTCCCGGGACTATCGGATGACCCCATAAGTGAACCTAAAATCCGGATGTGAGGGGAGGGGAGCGGCGACACCGCCACACCAACCCATCTCTTTCCTGCTTCAAGCCCGGCCCCCCACCCCGCACACGGACCGGACCACCCCCCGCAAGAGCCGGGACCGGGGCCCACCCATCCCGCGCCGGCCACCCAACCAGAACCGCCCCCCCCCCCCCCCCGAAAAGAAAAAAAAAAAAAAACCTTCAACCAGGCACTTCATGAGGGGCCGTTCAGTTCTTAACATTTTAACCAATGTTTTTTGTTTGGATTTCCTAAAAAAAAAAAAAAAAAAAAAAAAAAAAAAACGTGTCCAAAACAACGTTTTTTTTCTCTCTCCGTTCCTATTTTCTTAATTGACAATTTGCAAATGAAGATATGTGGCTATTAAATAATTTGATTTGGGTTTGATTTATCCACTGGTGAGTTCTTGCTGATGGGATCCAATCTCACCCTTGGTGTGAAAATTACACAACGATATCTTAGCTGTTGGTTTTGTTTTGTTGTTTTTTTTTTTTTTACTTAGCATTTTAGGAATTAGGTTTTCTTGATACTTTCAATCCGTAAACTGTAACCTAAAGAGTAAAAACTAAACAGTATAGCTTTGTTTGTTTTTCACCCTCTTGTATCTCTGTCCCTCTTTTCTCTCTGGGTTAACCTTGAGGGAAGCAGAGTTTACAGCCCTGTTGTTCTCTCTAACTCTGTCCCCTTAGACCGCTCCCCGCCTCTCTCTCTATTTCCTTTATCCATGACCTCAGATGTAAGGATGTTGGCTTTATATAAATAAATTCATGTGATTTTTGTTTTGTGTTGTGTTTTGTGCGCCGACTCCCATCCACCTAGTCGTACTGTATTAATCTTTCTTTTCTCTTTACGCTCTTTCTTCTCTCTTCTTCTGTAGCTGCGTGAAAATGCTCAACCTGTGGTGAGTCCCTCTCTGCTTGTCCACATCATACTCAATGGGACAGGGAGTGGACCAGCCTAGGCTGGGCCCAGTGGAGTTACTCACTAAATTTAAGCAGACTCTCACTGGTACAGTACTGATTTAAACCTAGAAGAGAATAAATTAACATTGCAGATTATTTTTAGTTTGAACTAATTCAGTAATGTTAGAATTGCTTCATATGCCGTATATTCTAACAATCAAACTGGTAACAAATCGGGGCCGATTGTCTTTATTATGCTTCTGTAATCTCTGTAGTTTTATTTTAGGGTTTAGATATTTGTTCATTAATATACCATTATTCATGGTTGCATAATGAAAGTAAAAGAACCCAGTCACTGTCCTACGTCTCTTCTTTGTGTGTTCTTACTCAGCGTTCAGGCTCCTCTTGTCTTGTGCTTTTCCTGTGTTTTTTCTTTTGCTGCATACAGGAAATGTCACCTTCAGAGGCCCTGCAGCAGCAGTGTGTGGTTGTGCTCTCCTTTTTACATGTACAGGTGCATCTAAATTGGAAATGTTTCTGGAGACCTAATGGGTTTCAGTTTAAAGGTGAAACTTGTTTAGACGTGTAACACATAGAGTGGTATTTATAGAATGTGTTTTTGTTCATGTGGCTCGCAGTTATAAAAAAAAAAAAGTATTACATTTCCTGGAAAAAAAGGAAAACTGAAGTATTTTCAAATGGATTTATTTTAGCTGTGTTTTTGTCTATGGTGTAGTAGCTTAACCCTGAAGCAAATTCTGTGTTAAACTCTGTGTAATAAGTTTTCTCTGGCTCTGAATCACAAATACCTAATCTTGAATATGTTGATGTGGCGGTTATTATGCTATGTTCAGACCGCACGCTGCAGAAGCAGCTAGTTTACATGCAAAGTCAATGGTTGATGCGCATCAGGCGCATCAGTAGGTCCGGCAGAGCGTCTAGAGCAGCAGTAGCAGCGCATCTTGGCGCACCTGAGCAGCCAGAGCAGGGCCAATCACAACACAGAGATGTGTTTTGAATTTCTGGATACAAAGCGGGCGGGATTTTGAGGGTTTGACGACAAAGCTGTGCGACGCTGGAGAAAGCACAACAAGGAAGATGGCAACAACTATTGAACAGTTCTTGTTTGACTCAGCTTTGGAATACGTTTTGGAGGCATTAGACTTGGGGTTTTCGTTGAAATGTGAGCAGGAAGAGGCTCTACGCTCATTAATTTTTAAGAAGGACGTATTCACCGTTTTACCGACAGGCTGTTTGTTAACACTCTCCCACAAGCTAACTACGTCACAATCAGTTGCGCTCATTGGTCAGAGCGTTGGCCAATAGGCACAGACATGGTCTGATGTCTCATTCATCGGGGCCAGACCAAATTACACATTTAATCTCACATTTAGTCTGATTTATCAGGCTAGCATAGATTAACTTAAAATGTTGAAACCTCCCGATGTTCGATTTTATTGATCTGGTGCCTGCAGTTTGGATTACGTACATGAAAGACGCCTTCCAGCCGCCGCCAACAGTAGCGGATAACCCCCAGGAAGCAACTGGGCAGAGGCTAGCATTGATTGATTGATTGATTGACTTTATTAATCTGACAGTGAAGAAATTACTGAAGTGGATTTTCCAGTGACAGAGCACTGCCGGTGTACGGGGGCAACGCTGCACTGTCACAAAATAATATTTGAAGGCAGGATGGTAATCTGGATATAACTGACTGCACAGAGGAAGTTTTCAGGTGGACTTTCTCACTTTAAAACATTAAAACTACTTTTTACCCACTTATAACAGCAAATATAGCAAAGCCGTTCTTTGCCATTGAACACAGGAGCAGCAGAAGCATCAGATGCATCTGGACACAATTAACTGGACACGCTTCTGGAGTGTCAAAAAATGCACTTAATGTGAACAAGTATCAAAAATGAAGCAGCAGAAGCTTTTTGCTGCTTCCAGCGCTGGTGGTCTGAACGTAGCATTAAAGCAGCAATACCTTTTTATGCCCCAGTTGTTTCTTCCACTTAACTTTCCATTGATATATTTGGATAAAACTGATATTCACTTCAGCTGCAGGTTTTTGTGAGTGTTGCTGACTGGACACCTGTTAACTCGGCAGTCTTCCCCATCATTCTTTAGGACAAATGTCAAATTATTACATTGTGTAATGGATTTTTATTAGTTTCACTTTTGAAATTGATTTTTAAAGTAGATAAAATTCTATATTCAAATGTGTTGAGATGCACCTGTTCATAGGAATAAAGGAGATGAATAAGCATCCAGTGGATGGCAACGCTTTAACCTTCCTGATGTGGAATCAGCACCTGTCATGTGGACATACTGATGTAATCTCCGTCTGTCTGCAGGTGCTGCTGTTTCTTCAGGCGAAAACGGAAGAAGAACACGCCGAGGCACAAATGATGAGCCAGAACCGGACCGGAAAGTTCCTCATGTTGTGATTTCAGACACCTGGAAGGTCCCACTGGGAACAGAAAAGGGATTCAGCCGATAGATTCTGATTGGTTTGTTCCCGGGAAGGACCGCTTTGACCTGGAGATGTACAGGAAACGTGTCTCATGATGGGAGCTTCCTTTCTTTTTTCTTTTTTTTTTCTCCCCCCTCAAAGTGAAACAGGAGGTTTTACAGGTCAGGTGGACCAAGAGTTTTTTTTCAAAGGTGTTTTTTTCCCCCTTTATTTTACATGACAACCAAATAGTTCTCTCTTATCACTGTCTTCGTATGTTTTACTCCAATCTTTAGTTTTTTTGGTTCGTTTGTAAAGGAAGAGATGGATGTGATATCCTGCCCCCATCTCGTTAGGAACCCGTTGTTTCTACTCCGCTCCAGACGTGATTCACTTCCCAAATCATCCTGCCACGCCCCTCGTTAATTTGCTGACTCATTGTGACGTATTTTTTGTTCCTTTTTTTTTTTTTTGGATCGTCTCTGACTAAGGCAGAAGTATTAGCGAAAGAGCAGCCGCCTCCTGGTTTTCTATCCTTCGGAGACGTTCTTTCAGCCCAAGCGCTCCTCGTCTCCGTCCAAATACACTACAGCCTCTTTTTACTCTGTGATGACGAACATCCACCTGACGCTTCTAGATGGCAGCTTGAAGGGGGAAAAAAAGACAAAAACATGATATTTATCACTCCGTTGCTACTACTTTTCCTACTAATTCTTACATGCACACTGAATGTATTGACAGGTGAGTCAATGACTGGAGGATTTATATTATCTCTCCAGTTCATGGGAAGGAAGTTAAATTAAGTTTTTGGAAAAAGGAAAACAACTGAGAACCAAACTTCAGTTCGGATTAGGAAGGTTTTTTCATGCACTCTGTTACCATGGTAGCCATGCTACTCTGGAAGGACAGCAGATATGCTCTGGAGAGTCACAGTTCTGTCTAATGCCTTAACCTCGATCCACCAACCCGACTGAGCGCCACATCGTCCGGATAGGAACTTAACAGCACGGCTGCGAGACGTCCGTGTTCTTTCCAGATGATTCAACCCAAAGCAGAGACTTGTTTTGGGGCTGGTCATGGCTTCTTTTCTTAACACTGAAACGTATTTCCCCGTGGAAGGAGAGCCAAACCTGAAGGCATGACGACGCGTCATCTGCTACACGTGAAGACGCGCCCCCCCCCCCGCACACAGCCCCTGTGCTGCAACACGATGCTCCAACGTTCGGGATCACTGCTCCCTCTCCTCCGTGGCCGAGATGGACAATAAACTCTGCGGCGGCGCGGATGAGGAGGAATGCCTTGAAACAATTTCTCACCTTGCCTATCATAGCAGAAAAATGAAATCCCCTTTCTTTTTGTTAATGTGAAATTGTCTAATGTAATTGTTTTCATTCCAGTTAGCCATGATTTTATAGGGAAAGAGGGTAAACAAAACAAAGCTTGATTATTTACTGCACTACATTTGTTGAGCCCATCTTTCCCTGCCTTCTTAAAAAGAATCCACTTTGAACATGCTTATTACTTTAATCGTAGCTGCCTCGTGTGCTGGGATCTCCCTCTAGGGTGTAGGGAGTTTATTATTATTATTATTATTCTTTGTTTTAACCTCCAGCCACTGCTTATTTGGTGCCATGACAACCCTCCTAAAAGCACTGCTTCCACACACACACACACAAGTGTTGTTGGTGTTAAATGAATCAGATTGGGCGTTTCATTGGACCAGCTCCATTAGAATGTTGTAGATGAGTCGGTATGTTAACCTGCTTCTTAGATGTATTTACACTGTACAGCCTAGTTTATTTTTTTGTTTAAAATCCCTCTTCCAACGCGTTGCTTTCTGTGGGGCATAAGCTATTGTCTTATCAAAAAGTACTTGAACTCTTTTCTGCTTCCTTTGTTCTCAGTAACTTTATGATTTGATGGGAGCTTTGGGAGGAGAAGCTAAATGAATGACCGATATTCATTTCTTTTAGGCCAGCAGGGCGCCTGTAGAGTCCTGCAGGTTGTCGGTTTGAAGATTAAAGTCTCTGAGATGCTCGCCAACGCCAAATCAGGCGCCAAAGCCGTGATGTTTTCTGGCCGCCAGCTTTATGCCGCCGCTGCTGCTTCCGATGAGTGAGATGGATTATCCAGAATATTTAGCCTTCTCTGCTCCCTGCTTAGAATTCCCCGAGTGCCATTTCTAAGACGACTACTACTACCCCCTCTTTTTTTGTGTTTGTTTTTTTCTTTTTTTTTTTTATATATCTGTGCCAGGAAAATATTCTCGATGAATGTTTTCGTTTCTCGCTCCAACCTGTGTTCTTGAATGTGTCCGCAGCGCGGCTCGGTGCCATACCAGGCAGTGTTTAACGACTCGTTCTTTCTTGAACCCACAAAAAAAAAAGAAGTGGACCCACCCCCACCCCCCCACTTATTGGACCAAGCTCATGGTTTTCCCAGCTGAGTTTATGACGGACCATCTGCTGTTTCACCTCTAGTTCTGTAGCTTCTGGCTGAGCTGGTATATATAGCTATATTACGCTGTATTTTAACTCGTACAGAGCGATATAGGAGTAATCTACGTGATCTGTTTCTGCATGGCTTACAGAGAGAAGGCCGAGATGTCCCTTCTGCGTTGCTCCCCACCCATAGGGCCAGTGAAGCGATGCAGCTTTAACTCCTTGCGTCTTTTTGCTACCCATTTTTTTCCCTTTTTTTTTGTTCCGACTCTGTTCGTCATGTCAGGGTTTATGGCTTTTATGTGCGTATTTGTATGTGTGTAAATCAAATCAAAGCAAATGAGCGCATGAATGATCAGCTTTGGTCTTTTTTGGGTTCTCTGGCACTTTTTCTCCTTGTTGCTGTACTGTAGGGTTGTTTGATTTACTGTATATCTTTTTCCTGTGAGGGAGAGGTGATATTTACTGCAATATTGTGCTAATTATTTGAACTGTAAATTGTACAGACTTCACAATTGTAGTCTTTGTTGGGAATTTCTATTAAAAACAGTGTTTCTCTGATTTGTTTTCGCAGACTGTGGAAAATCAAATTGTACAGCTCCAATAATCTATCCTTTCCTCTGCATTTTTCTTTATTTTTTTGGGCTGATTTTGAGAAATCCTTAATCTGTAAATAAATATTATTGTGTTGAATTATGAATGTCACTTCAGAAATGTATTTGAATGAGTTAGTCAAGGGCTTCAAGTATTGAAGGACCCACATTTCCTCCTTTTTTAATGATTTCATATATTTAAGTTGCAGAGAGGTAAATAGCCTTTTTATCTGAGATGACATTTGTTTTTTGTTTTTCTTTCTTTCTTGGATCAATATGAAACGGCATCTCATACACGAACCTTTTGAATAATCACTTTTTATTCCCTCCACACCTAAGGGGAAACTCCAATTTGCACCCTTTTTATGTAAAATAAAAGATCTGTCCACATTTTTTGGACTGTTTGTGATGATTTTTAGACATTTTTTCAAGCAAATCAAAGTACAGAGAAAAAGCAAACCTTATATTATTATATATATTTGCTGATGAGGCCATGAAAAACTGATTCTGTGTGATTAGATGCTATATTTTGGATCAGCATGCTCTTGGAAGACCCAGTGATGACATATATGATATTTTTTTATTAAAAGTATCCTGATATCTTAGCTATGCAGCCCATCCAGGCTTCCATGGCCTTTAAAGGAGAAAAAGGCCCACAGCATCACAGGTAATTTACTGTAATTAACTGCTTTTTCCAAGCATTCATTCTCTGTTTCACACAAGACTCTCCTGTCTCCAGAAAGCTAAGTCTCATGTAAAACCATGGTTCTAGTTAAAAGTCTAAAAAGGTTTAGCAGATTCTGCTTACCTTAAATCCATGTAATGTTATGTGTGGCTGATATATTCAGCTGGATATATATTCATTAAAAGTAGGAACAAGAGGGAAATAAAACTGCAGGTAAATATAACTTGCTACCAGAAGGAGTGCATTATAACATGTTTAGAATTGGGGGATTTACCATTAGGAAATACTAGGCATGCCAACTTAGCGCTTTTGTCGCTGTATTTAGTGACTTTTCAGACACCTCTTGTACTCGTATTTTAGAAAAGCGCCTAGTGCCAAATTTAGTGACTTCTGCTAGTGGAGACGACGTATAAAAAAACCAAACTCTGCTCTCCAGAAAAATCTTTCATTCCTTTTGAGACAGCATGAAAAGTCAGCTGAGTACAAAACCTAGAGAGGAAAACAAGAAAGGGGACAAAACCTAGAACAAAGAATGGATGTGTGTTAAAATTTCTGTATCTGTATAATGGGTCTGTTTTATGGGTTTTTTCTCAATTCAGAGGGCCCCAAATTTCCTAAATCCGCCCCTAATTAGAATATAGTTTACTGTACACACCGCTGTGCTCCTTCAGTGATCATTTCTTGGGAATTTGATTTTAGTGTCTGTCTAGTAGCTTGAAATTCTAATACAAATAGCTCTGAAAATGTTATCTGTAAAGATTTTTTCCTAGTTTTTTCTGTGTAATAATTAGTATTCAGATCTTATGTCGCAATGCTCGGATTGCAAAATCTGGAACAGAAGGGGAACAAAATCTACTAACTAAATGGTTGCACACACTGCAAGAACTTGCTTTTATGTGGCTTAAACGCTGAAAATTTTCCATTTAAAGTTTAAATACATTAATAAACATGTAAAAAGAAACACAATCGACATGGTCATGAGTTTTTTTTTTTTTTATCAGAGGACATCTGGATTGATATTTATAGTCTGCTGAATTATCTGTGTAGTTATGTCTTCCCGCCACCAGGTGGCGGTAATGGTCTCAGCACCGTCGCGCCTGTCGCTGTCTTCCACTATAAACATCCGGTATGACGCCGCGGTGTTTCTTTTCCGCTGGTCCGGGCAAACATGGTGGGTACGACACAAAGCTTATGGTTTCAGCTTCGCTGACAATCCTTATCAATCCTTTCCCCCTGTGCCCTCACCGAGGACTTTAAACCCCCTCTCTGTATTTTAAAGTTCCAAAGACCACCGGACGATTTAAATGAGCTAACTTTGACAAAGGAAAACCGATAAATAAACTATTATACATTTACTCCAATCATTGGCAAACTGAAGGAATAATAAAAGTATTTTATTAGTCTATAAAATACTTCTATTCGGATACTAAGAAACCCCATTTTTTTGCGAATAATAGTATTTCAATTTCAACATTTTATTAAAAACATACGAAGATAAAGTCGTATGTTGAGTTCAGTAATGTGATTTTTTTTTTATCACGTCCATGTACACAAGTTAACCTGGTATAATTTATAGTGCATATCTACTAATTTATTTAATAAACACCTAGTTTATTTGTTCCTCGTTAAATGTTGCCTTGATTTTTCAACTTGGATTTGCCCTCTTTAAAACAAAAATAACAGACATGCTGTAAATGTTTGTCATTTCTCTTTTATGGTTCTTTTTTTTTTGTGAGTTTGAAGATTGCATAAATGTCTACTTTATTCAAACTTAAAAAAGTTAAAAAACCTAACCAGGGCTGCCTATTTAAAGCTAAAAGCACAATAATATAAAAAAGTATTTTGCAAAGGAGAAAATGAATAACACCTTTGACTTTCTT